CAAAACCGAGCAACAGTCATGCCAGAACAATCCTTCACTGTGATCCCACGCTCTGCGCTAGGGATGTATCCACCCCGACCCGAGCCACAGACATACACCTGCTCATACACGCACACACACGGCTCCTGAGACAGCATGTCCTAATCCAACGCCGCGTGGTTTCGGAGAAAGATCCACAGTTTCTGTCAGAGCCTGTGTGTGACGCCCTGCCTCCTGGGGGACTGGAGAGAAGGAACAAAGGACATGGTCCCTCTTCTCCACCTTGTGTGTGGTGAATGCAGACAGAAGCTGCGCCGTGATGATGTACAGAAACAAACCACCAAAGCCAAGACTAGCCAAAGGCATCCCGGGAAACCCACAGATCACAGCGACCCAGAGGTAAGCACGGGTCTGAGGGGAGCCGAGGACCCGCTGGGCACGCAGACAAGGTGGGTGCTGTCCGCGCAGAAGACAAATGAATCCCACGTGCACAAAGCAGACGCAGACACCGGGCAGACAGGCAGAGTGCCGGGCACGGCCCAAGCGCGAGTCCCAGTCCAGAAGGCCAGGGGCGGCGAGGGCCATTAGTTAAGCACTGGCACGCAGCTCTTTATCATAAGAACACGATCCAATTCACATGGGCAGGCTAGAAAATTCTCTCACAGAAGCAGGGAGAATGGAGTCGGAGACAGGTAATTTTGGAGACAGGAGAACATTTTTCAGGGCGTTGCAATCCACAGGGGGCGCTGGGTGATCATGACCCCTCGATGTTCCAGAACACGCCACTTAGCAGCACTGACAGAACGAGAGCGGACTCACACCGGAGCCCGGGCCCAAGCGCAGGACCAGACCTCCAACGACGCTGCAAACTCCTCATCAGGAAAATAAGAAACTTCACTAACTTCCACAGTCCCACCGCTCCAGACCACCCCGGCGGACAGCAGGCGCCGAGACTAAAGGAGCAAGCCCAGCTTCCCAGACGCCATCTTCCAAGAAACATTCACACAACAACGACAAAAACCCCAACCGGTTCCATTTCCACCGCGGATGTGGAGTTCACGAGCCCTCAAAGGAGCGGGGAGTCGAGAAGGAAGTGCCGACGGCTGAAAGCGTGGGGAACCATCTGTCTGTCTGAGGACAGGCCGTCCACCCCTCCCTGTCCACGGGGTCGGGTGCCGCCCCCTCGATTCCACTTCCACGCGGCGACCTCTCCCGCCTCCACCGGCCAGGCGGCGCTGGGGGAGGGCAGCGCGGCCTTCCGTCTCCTCTCCTGGGCCGCGCCAGGGCTGCCGGTTATCTGGCCCCAGCCTAGCGCTGTCAGCTTGCTTACGCGCGTGCGCACACACACACACACACACACACACACAGACACATGCACACACACACACACACACGTCTGTTCACACACAGGCCTGCTCACGCACGCCTGTGGCCCCCCAGTCCCTCTCTGCTCTGGCACTGCGGGCACGGTGACTTTGGTGACTTGATGCTTGCCATCCCGTCCCGGCAGGCCCGACAACTGGGGACGAGGTGTTTTCTCGCCAGGCCTCACTGCAGGGTCACCTGGTCTCTTCCCGGGAGCTGTGGCTCCCACCGTGGGCAGAGTCCCAAGCAGGACGCCACGGGGGACGCGGGCATCGCTGATGTGCGCTACGGACACGCCTCAGCGGGTGTAAATGCCCGCCCGCCCCTCCCCGCCCCTCAGGGCAGATGGAAGCGGCCTGTGCCCATCGCGCCCTCGTTTCCCCAAACCCGGAGCCCTCCACCTCCTGCCTCTGTCAGTCCGAGGCCAGGAAGAGTCTGGGTCTCCACGGAGCTCAGCCCCGCTGCAGGGCCCGGCAAGGACACAGCCGTGGCTGTTCCTCTAGGAAGGCCGGCTCCTCAGCCCCGCCTGGCTGCTGGTTCTCGAAGACAAACTTAAGTCCCATGCTGAGCACAGACGCAAGGACCCTGTTCTTGTTCTCAAGAGCGCCTCGGCTCGCTCCCACCGGCCCGGAAAATGGCCAAGTGCCGGAAAGAAGAGCACAAAGACGGTTACCTCAATGCGGATGCTCAGAGACACGCAGTGGGAACTCAGGAGTCTTCTGGAAGAGGTCACAGGCTCCTTCCCTCTGTGCGTGCCTCAGTTTCCTGCCCTGGGAAGTGACAGAGGCAAACTGTTTAACATTAAAGAAGGACGGACAGAGCACAGCGTTAACACAGTGTCAGATGAGCCTGCACTGGTTTCATTGCAGGAATTCAACAGGCAGATAAAATAGCGTGTGACGGTCACACTGAGTCTTGGAGGCAAAGGATGAGCAGGGACAAGTTCCTTCTCCAACTCCCGCTAATCAGATGCCAACAATTCCTGTGTGAAATATAAACTCCTTATTTCTTTCCAATCAACTGTGGATTGGCCAACGAGGCCGTTTTACTAGCCCATCTGGCAAGTTTCTACAGCGGAAGTGATTTCATTTATTCCTGGCTAGCACAACTTCATCTCTGCCTTGGCTTTCTATTTGCAAAACGGGTACAGCAACAGTGTCTCTGTCGCAGACTCACTAATAAGGTCACGTAGAGCAGAACCTCATCTGGTCGGCCCTGCCTTCCTGCGTGGCCTAACAAAGTGGCCTTTTCCCCAGTAGGCAAGCGATGAAGGGTACGAAGGACATTCAAAATCTTATACACATACACAGGAGAAATAACAACAGTATGAGGTCATGAGAAACTTCATAGCACCAAAGTTCATTTATCAGAGCTGTTTTCCAGTACAGTAAGGACAGACTGTTACAAGTGGAAAACAACCTAGAATTCAATGAAAACCTTCCATCTGGGCAGTCACACCCACTCTGAATCCTTTATATGAAGTAAGTATCCTCCTCAAATCCACGTTTATAGAAATGTTACCCCCCACAAATACTCAAATAAGCTTAGAAAAGCTAGGCGCTGGTGGCTCATGCCTGTAATCCTAGCTACTCAGGAGGCTGAGATCTGAGGATCCCGGTTCAAAGCCAGCCCGGGCAGGAAAGTTCATGAGACTCTTATCTCCAATAAACCTGCTAGAAAACCAGAAGTGGTGCTGTGGCTCAAGCGGTAGAGCACCAGCCTTGAGCTAAAGAGCTGAGGGACAGCGCCCAGGCCCAGAGTTCAAGCTCCACGACAAAAAGAAAAAAAAGAAAAACAAAAAATCAAATAAGCTTAGAAAAAGGCACACAGGAGGACAAAATTTAAAATGGTTATACACTTAGTAAAGCAATAAGATGGCAGCAATGGGGGGGGGAGGGATGGGACCCAGGGTGGACAAACGCTGCAGTGTCCTCACCGGACACTGTGTGGAAAACGAACTATACAACTGGTGGGCAGGAATGGGAGGGAAGCGCTGGGAGGGGGGGGGGGGAATGGGAGGGAAGCGCTGGGAGAGAGTGGGGGGGGGAATGGGAGGGAAGCGCTGGGAGAGGGGGGGGAATGGGAGGGAAGCGCTGGGAGAGAGGGGGGGGGATGGGAGGGAAGCACTGGGAGAGGGGGGGGAATGGGAGGGAAGCGCTGGGAGAGGGGGGGAATGGGAGGGAAGCGCTGGGAGGGGGGGGGGAATGGGAGGGAAGCGCTGGGAGAGGGGGGGGGATGGGAGGGAAGCGCTGGGAGAGAGCGGGGGGGGGGGGGGAATGGGAGGGAAGTGCTGGGAGGGGGAGGGAATGGGAGGGAAACGCTGGGAGAGAGGGGGGGAATGGGAGGGAAGCGCTGGGAGAGAGCGGGGGGGGGGGGATGGGAGGGAAGCGCTGGGAGAGAGGGGGGGGATGGGAGGGAAACGCTGGGAGAGAGCGGGGGGGGGGGGGAATGGGAGGGAAGTGCTGGGAGGGGGGGAATGGGAGGGAAGCGCTGGGAGAGGGGGGGGAATGGGAGGGAAATGCTGGGAGAGAGGGGGGGGGAATGGGAGGGAAGCGCTGGGAGAGAGCGGGGGGGGGGGGGAATGGGAGGGAAACGCTGGGAGAGGGGGGGGGCAGTGTCCAAAGAGAAGTACTCGTTACCTGACTTATGTACCTGCACATCGTCATCCTCCTCCTCCTCCTCCTCCAACACGGAGGCCACGATACACACGCGCCAGAGCCGGCAGCACAGCACTGGTGACGGGCGCCCTGGCCCTGTGCATCGGAGGGGCCAGCCGTGGGCGGCGCCACCTCCATGGCCTGCCACCGCTTTCACGTGACAGGGGCACGCCGGGGAGGGGTCTGTGACTCACCCAACCCCACGCAGGCGCCGGGGAGGACGAGGGTCCGGGTGCTGACACCTGGGTCGTGAAGAGAGCCGAACAGCTCCTCCCTCTGCATCCGCTCATTCTTCCGCGCATCCTGCTCTCCGCCGTGTCTAATGCTGCGTCGGGTCTCCTCCCACAATTCCACGCTGCAGCTCTCCGCAGAGCCTGGCCGGGTCGCAGCCCCCTCGGTTCGGGGGGTGTCGCTGGAGCTGCCACGGACGTGGCAGGGCTCACGGGGCGACCCTCCTCGGGACCCCAGGCGCCCACCACCTGTCCAGCCACACGAATCAGTGCTGCCCGGGGCCGGCCCTGGGGTTTGTTGGGGAGCTGCGGGCTGGGGGTCCCGCGTGGCCGGGGCTGGCCCCTGGGGATTGTTGGGGAGCCACGGGGTCCTGCATGGCCGGGCGCAGGGGTGGTGCCTGCTGAGGTCACCCCCGTGCCTCCCAGCTCCCCCGGGCTCGCCACAAGCTGGGTGACCGGACCCCGCATCCACCCTGCGCCCATGACAGACCAGAGCGCTGCCTGGGATGGAGCTGCACCGCCTGCAAACGATGCGGGGACCCAACCACAGAAACGCAACAGGTGGCGCAGCTAACATGCGCGTCATAAATTTATTTTTAAAGTAATTCCTAACAGTGCAAACAAACAGGGATAACACAGCAATACACATTGAGTGATAGGAGCTTTTCCCAAGTTGGTGAATGCGCGCACGCGCGCGCGTGCACACACACACACACACACACGAGCACAGATAAACACAGACACATTACAAAATAAACAGAGTCCCTTATGATAACTTAGTGACAAACGTGTCCATATTTATTAATCTGGCATGTTGTTGCCCGTAAAGAAGCCGTGTTTCATAGAGGAACTACAGTACCTTGAACCGCGCACAAATAGAATTCTGAATTAAACCCCAGCATCCTCCCTGCCAAACTCCCTGTGTGTAAAAGTCTCGCCTCCGAGTTGGACACCGGGATTGCGGCCTTCAGCTTTCGCAGCTCTCCGCTGCAGGGCCGCGGCTGGCGTCTTGGGCTTTGGGGAACAAGGTCGGTCGGTTCATCGATGTCAGCCGGCGGTGCTGAGACGCCGCAGGGCACAGCTGTCTGCTGGAAGTCCTCCTGCCTCCTTCCGCCCCACGGTGCTGCAGTGCTGGGCCGGGGGCAGGGCTCTGCTCTTCAGGACATCCATTTCCCCGCAGAGCTCAGGACACAGGGCCCGCCATCGTGGCCTTGTTCTGGAACTGATGAGGAAAGAGACCCCTGGACCGCCAGCAACACGTGCCCAGCACGCAGCCAGCATCCTGCGAGACTGACACTCCTGTCCAGGCCCCACGCTCTCCAAGCCCAGGCCACGTACCCGAGGAAGACCACGCTGGCGATGGCCCGGTGCTGTGGTCGTGGGAAACGGAGTCTCGCTGCTAAGTACCTGGACTGAGTCTGTGAACCACACTAGATGGGCCGGGGCAGACTCCTCGGGGGCGAGTGACCTCACCGATAGCGTTTTGATTTTGGAAAATGCCGGAGAAGCAGAGGTGAACTACACAGCGACCTCTGCCTTAAGGTGGAACTGAAGTGAGAGGGAACCGCTGACCGCGGGAGGGAGGAGGAAGGACAGACTTGCATCAGCACTTCCCAAGACCTCCCTAACTTACACCTCCACCACCACACTTCCATTCACATTACTTCACATTTCCATTCATGTGTGCACTCATTCACTCACTCACTGACCGCCCTCCTGACCTGTCTGTCACTATTACACTTGACTAGTTCACCCTGACCCATTTTTCAAATTTAAGTCACAAGAACTCTCAGGCCATAGTGGTGTGTGTGCTCAATCTAGAAATAGTCAAAATAGGAGGAACTGGGATTGCAGACACTCAGAGACATAGAGAGTTTTCCACAGCAGCTACCCGAGCATCCGGGAGGAGAGAAAGCTCTGGAGAAAGACAAAGGCCAGGACACACACAGACAGACCTACAGAAATCATATATTAGAATTACTGACGCGGAGGGCTGCGGGTGAGCAGTCCCCAAGGTACAACGGGTAGCAAATGCATCTCCACTCCACGCCTCAGAAGGCCAGTGGAATTCCTAGGAAAGACAAAACCTGAGTGGCAGACAGACAACCGTGTCTGGATGTCACCCCTGAGGGGAGAGCACAACGCCCAACTCTGTGGTACAAATACAAGCGTCCTGCACTTTCGTATTGCTTTTTCCGTCTTAACCGAGAGCTGATCTACACGGCGGCTTTCCTTCGAACGGCCTCCGTCACGAGTGTGGAAGGGTGTCTCCGTTAGCCAAGAGGCTGAGCGCTGAGCGCCCACCCACGCTCCGCATCCACGCGTGCGATGTCACCGTGGCGTTACCAGCAGATGTGTACGGAGGACTCGTCAGCATGTCTGTTTTAACATGAAACCGTATGAAATCCCACAGTTAGGAAGATGGTTTCACGGGAACTCTGGAGGAGGGCGTCAGTCTCGGGACTGACCACGGAGCCGCCGCCGCCCAGCCAGAGCAGCTGTGCGGGGCCGGCGTGCGGCTTCCAGCATGCCGCCACCACCTGGCTCTCCGGACGCCACACGTGCCCATCCGCGGCCACCGCCGTCGACTTGGAAACAAACAGAACACCTCACATGAGAACACAGACTTCTCTCACTTTGAAATGTTCAGGACCAGCAGAACAATCACATACAAAAGAAGTGTACTTCTTTACAGACAAATAAGAAATGAATGATTTAAATTACTCTTTAAAGTCCTGATTCCAAGTTTCCCCAGAGACTACCAGGCCGGGAAGTTCCGAGCTCAAAATCCACGCAGCGGAGTTCTGGCTTCCGAATTTTAGGGGATACAGCGATGAACATGAATGCAGTAACCGAGAATACAAGCGTCACGGAGGAAACATCATAGAAAATTACTTATTATCAAAAAAAGCAGGTTATTAAAACAACGAGAAAACAAGCCATAAAAGAATGGCTGTGATCTAAACATATTGTTTTTTCCTTTTTCCATTAACGGAGCTACACAGTCTGCTGGTGTGGAACTTGACAGAAATTGACTGTTTACATTTCGTGGGCCGGTCCTCCTATCTGTGTCAGATAAAATCATCGCGCTTATTACTCGTTACCATGGATACCATGAAGATGCGGCCGGCACCGGCGACAGCACTAGAGGAAGACAACGTAGTTCTCGGGGACGAGTCCCGTCTTGCCTTCGTAGGTAGCTTTCAACCACCCGGGTTCCACGGAGGGGTACACTGGCAAAGCAGAGGGGGAAAGGTGTCAGCGAGGGCGGGCTGCAAACCGGGGTGGGAAGCCAGAGGGACTGGAATGCGCACACAGACATCCTCACACGGACGTCCACGCAACACACACACACACGTGTGTGCTGCAGGCGCTGTGTTTACAGTCATCACACACAGGTGAGAGGCAGGGACCACACACACACACACACACACACCAACCACGCGCTGCCCACGGCGGGGGAGGAGGGCGTCTGCAAGGATTCGATGGGTTGGCTTAGGACGCAGAGTGAGGAGCAGGACCTGGGGCTCCCTGCTTCTCCTCCAGGCCCTCCGCCCGCCCGGCGCGCCCCTGGGGGTGCCACTTCACTCACCGTTGGAGAAGAGCGCCCCCTGAGGGAAGGAGAGCTCGTGGCTGTGTTCGGCCTTGCAGGAGTACATGGCTCTGGCTTGCCTGGAAGAGCAGGGACATGGTAAACACCACGGCCCGGCCCAGCCGCACCCACACAGAACAGTCGTGGGGCGGGGCAGCTGGCGTGTCACACGCGCGGAGGAAGTGTGGGCTGCTGAGACCGGCCGCACAGGCCCTCTGCCCCCCACGCTTCCTGAACACCACGCTGACCTTGCCTGCTCAGTCTTGAACTACAAACCTCCTGATCTCTGCCTCCTAAGCAGCTGGGAGGTCAGGTGTGGGCCGACACACTTCGGGGGGCGGAGGCATCCTGTGCGCTCAGCTTCTAGAGAGTCTAGAGGCAGCCTGGGGCCCCGTATGTGTCAGAGAAACAGGACTGACAGCGGGCGGCGGGGGGGGGGGGGTGGGGGGGGGGCGCCGGGGAGGAGCCGGGCAGGTGGGCAGGAGCGGTGTGATCTCTGGGTCACTACCAGGTCCCAACTTCCCCTAAACACCAAACCACGGGAGTTTTGATAGCAATCTAGCCACATACAACCATTTACTTTAAGCGAGGATGGTAAAGCTGCTTCTTTCAAAATATGTAAATATTTTCAAACTTCCGAATTTTCTACCCTCAAAACTTCCTCCAGTAACAGCACCGCATTTCTGTGAGTCACTAAGACACACAATGAAACAACTTCCAACGCCGTAGCATTGCTTACAAGACTCTATGCCACAATGCTTTAAACGCAACCCAAGTCCATACTGTTTTGGGCAGAAAACCTGCTCCTGGTGGCGTTTCGGGGGGGGGTGGGGGGTGAAGCACTGCTACAGCCCAGCTGCACACGGCCCGAACAGAGCAGGCCACGCTGCCCCCAGTTTGTGGCGACCGGTTCCCGTGACCTGACAGAGCTCGCGGGGTGCGGTGTCCGCGCGCATGGCCGGATGATTTAATGCAGCTCTGGGCCACGCCGAGCCTCCTCTCCAGGTGCTAATGCCTCCTCTTTGCCTGTGGCGCGGACTGAAGAGCAGGTGAAAATAACCTGTCAGCTATTGTGTCTCTCATCAGAAGACTCTAATGCCTCTTTGAAAAGGGTTTTGAAGAGCTTGCTTCTGGCCGCGTGGAGAATGAGGTAATGACACTCAATCCTCAGAGCCATTTCTCCCATCATCATTAGGGAAATGATCTGCTCGCAGCCGAGCCGGCTCCGCCTAGACCGGGCCACGTGACCCTACCGGGAGATGCGGAGGCCTGAGAAGGCCAGAGTGGGAAACCTGCCAGTCTGATCGAGAACATGAGACATAAAATGGCCCCACAGGCGGGGAGAGGGAGCAGGTGAGGGAGGGCTGGAGACACAGTTCTACACCCTGAACGCTACCAACCAAGATGGAAATGTCCAGCGTCATATCTAACACACAGATCCAGACAGCATGGGATTCCATACCAGGCGGCGACCACAGAGCCGGCTGCCGGAGAGCACGCGGGAGGAGGGCAGGCGGGAGGGGGGCAGGCGGGAGGGGGCAGGCGGGAGGGGGCAGGCGGGAGGGGGGCAGGCGGGAGGGGGGCAGGCGGGAGGGGGCAGGCGGGAGGGGGGCAGGCGGGAGGGGGGCAGGCGGGAGGGGGGCAGGCGGGAGGGGGGCAGGCGGGGGGGCAGGCGGGAGGAGGGCAGGCGGGAGGGGGCAGGCGGGAGGGGGCAGGCGGGAGGGGGCAGGCGGGAGGGGGGCAGGCGGGGGGGCAGGCGGGAGGAGGGCAGGCGGGAGGGGGCAGACGGGAGGAGGGCAGGCGGGAGGGGGCAGGCGGGAGGGGGGCAGGCGGGAGGGGGGCAGGCGGGAGGAGGGCAGGCGGGAGGGCAGGCGGGAGGAGGGCAGGCGGGAGGGGGGCAGGCGGGAGGAGGGCAGGCGGGAGGAGGCGGGCGGGGGGCAGGCGGGAGGAGGGCAGGCGGGAGGCGGGCGGGGGGCAGGCGGGAGGGGGGGAAGGTGGGAGGGGGGCGGGCGGGAGGAGGGCGGGCGGGGGGCGGGTGGGAGGGGGCAGGCGGGAGGGGGGCAGGCGGGAGGGGGGCAGGCGGGAGGGGGGCAGGCGGGAGGGGGGCAGGCGGGGGGGCAGGCGGGAGGAGGGCAGGCGGGAGGGGGCAGGCGGGAGGGGGCAGGCGGGAGGGGGCAGGCGGGAGGGGGGCAGGCGGGGGGGCAGGCGGGAGGAGGGCAGGCGGGAGGGGGCAGGCGGGAGGGGGCAGGCGGGAGGGGGGCAGGCGGGAGGGGGGCAGGCGGGAGGAGGGCAGGCGGGAGGGCAGGCGGGAGGAGGGCAGGCGGGAGGGGGGCAGGCGGGAGGAGGGCAGGCGGGAGGAGGCGGGCGGGGGGCAGGCGGGAGGAGGGCAGGCGGGAGGCGGGCGGGGGGCAGGCGGGAGGGGGGGGAAGGTGGGAGGGGGGCGGGCGGGAGGAGGGCGGGCGGGGGGCGGGTGGGAGGGGGCAGGCGGGAGGGGGCACACGGGAGGAGGGCACGTGGGAGGAGGGTGGGCGGGAGGGCAGGCAGGAGGGCACGCAGGCACCGTGGACCAACCACAGCAGCGTCCTGCAGGCTTGTCCTCAGCCAGACTCCTCAATGGCCGGTGACCGTTTCCCAACAGCACTGTGTGTGCTGCGAATCAGCCACACTTTCTTACAGATCTGGCTGATTCCGGCTGGATGCAGCGGTGAACGCCCGGGGGACAGGGCAAGCTAACACGACACACGGCAGCCCCCAAGACCAAGGAGAAGAGCGGGGAGGCGAGGCCCGTGGATTCCATCACCCACGCGCTCAGGCGAGACAGTGAACAACACACATCCTTGTCCGTGTGCTGAGCGCACAGACCTCCAAGGGGTGTGACTCTGAGCCGTGACCGAGGCCAGGTCCTGAGCAGGCCCGCCTGACCGTGTGTGCAGCTTGTGAAAAGCTCTGAGCCAGTCCACAAGCGCCGTGGCTCAGCTGCTGAAGGAGGACTGGGCCCCGAGCACAGAACGCGGGGCTCTCGCTCATCAGCAGGTAGTTCAGAGTATTTAGAGCCAGCACGTGGGCCTGCCCGCGGGTGGCTAAGCACCTACGACGTCCCTTATATGCCAGCGTCTAATTTATTCACTGCCAGTTTTCTTAGAGCTCTGGGAAGATGTCTTTCTCATTGCAGTCCTGTCAGACCCCTTGCTCCTCACCCTCCGACTCAACCAATCACACTGAAACACTCAGAAAAAAAATGCGCCTTCATTTCCTGCCGTTGCTCTGACGCAAAGCATCCATGACCAAGGATGACAAGGGGGCATGTGGGAAGGTGTGCACGTCACGGAAGGGACTGGGCGGGCTTCAGGTTTTGGCGTGCACGTGTGTGTGTGTGTGTGTGTGTGTGTGTGTGTGTGTGTGTGTGTGGTGCTGGAATCCATTTCCCATCAGCACAGGAAGGATGCTCTTGAGACTTTCCCCAAGACCGTGTGGAGCTTCCTAATGGAAGGGCTCCATCTAGTGGAGCCCGACGGAGGGGAAGGTTAACTCAGAGATTGCAGTGAGCTCTGGCCAGCCAGGGCTCGGGCTCCTTGTGCCCTGAGAGAAAGGAAGCCAATGAAGATGAGAGAGGAGCAGGCGCCGTGGACAGAGGCCACTGCAGGTGGGACCGGCAAGGCTGCCGTCGCCTTGGTGAGATGTTAAAGCGATGGCTTTGTGGAGTGCTAACAAGCAGAAACCAACCGACCCAGGCACAAGCCCCAGATGCATGGTGAGGCGCCGAGCCGAGCTCGGGCCGCAGGCCAGCATTACCTCCCATGAACGGCATACGCGGTGTAATGTGTACGTATTTAACCAACAGCACACGTGTCGTAATGTATACGTATTTAACCAACAGCACACATGTTGTATTATGTACGTATTTAACCAACAGCACACGTGTTGTAATGTATACGTATTTAACCAACAGCACACGTGTTGTATTATGTACGTATTTAACCAACAGCACACGTGTTGTACTGTGTAAATATTTAACAAAGTGTGCCACACTTTTACAAGGTTGATAAAATTCTTTGGTTGGATAACTTCTGTAAGAAACACAGAAATTCCTAAATTATCTCTGATTCCTTCGCTTCACGGACTGATTTAGCCCGACAGGCAAAACTAAAAAATGCCCCAGTAGAGCCAAAGGAAGAAGAAAGGAAAAAGTCAGGCTTATTCTTCAAACTCTCTTGTATCTCTCATGCCATTTAACAACAAATACTCCAGTGCCTCCTCTAGAAAGCAAATGCTAGAAAACGTCAACCTTTGTGACCTTCTCCTACTCACATGCACAGCGACGGCCCACTGCAGATGGGAAGAATCGGCTGGGAACGGGACGGGGACAGCGGGATGGGGGGACAGCGGGACAGGGGGACAGCGGGACAGGGGACAGAGGGACAGGGGGACGGGGGACAGAGGGACAGGGGGACGGGGGACAGAGGGACAGGGGGACAGGGGGACGGGGGACAGAGGGACAGGGGGACGGGGGACAGAGGGACGGGGGGATGGGGGGACGGGGGACAGGGGGAGGGGGGACAGCGGGACGGGGGGGACAGCGGGACGGGAGGACGGGGGACAGGGGGAGGGGGGACAGCGGGACGGGGGGACAGCAGGACAGGGGGACGGGGGACAGGGGGACGGGGGACAGGGGGACAGGGGGACAGCGGGACGGGGGGACAGCGGGACGGGGGGACAGCGAGACGGGGGGACAGGGGGACGGGGGGACAGGGGGACGGGGGGACAGGGGGACGGGGGGACGGGGACAGCAGGACAGGGGGACGGGGGGACAGGGGGACGGGAGGACAGGGGGATGGGGGACGGGGGGACGGGGGGACGGGGGGGACAGGGGGACAGCAGGACGGGGGGGACGGGGGGACGGCGGGACAGGGGGACGGGGGGACAGGGGGACGGGGGGACAGCGGGACGGGGGGACGGGTGGACAGCGGGACGGGGGGACGGGGGGACAGCGGGACGGGGGGACGGGGGGGACAGCGGGACAGTGGGACGGGGGGACGGGGGGGACAGCGGGACGGGGGGGACAGCGGGACGGGGGGACGGGGGGACGGGGGGACAGCAGGACGGGGGGACGGGGGGACAGTGGGACGGGGGGACGGGGGGGACAGCGGGACGGGGGGGACAGCGGGACGGGGGACGGGGGGACAGGGGGACGGGGGGGACGGGGGGACAGCAGGACGGGGGGGACGGGGGACGGGGGGACGGGGGGACGGGGGGACAGGGGGAGGGGGACAGGGGGACGGGGACAGTAAGATAGTGAAACAGCGGGACAGTAGGACAGTGGGACGGGGGGACAGCGGGACAGCAGGACAGCGGGACGGGGGGGACAGCGGGACAGCGGGACGGGGGGACGGGGACAGTGAGACAGTGGGACAGAGGGACGGTGAGACAGTGGGACAGTGACACAGTGGGACAGCGGGACGGAGGGACGGGGGGGACAGCAGGACAGCGGGACAGCGGGACAGGGGGATGGAGGGACGGGGGGACAGCAGGACAGCGGGACAGCGGGAGCTGAAGCAGAGGCTCAGTGCAGCGGCAGCAGGATGCAGCCTGGCATCCCACCCTCCATGCAGCGCCCGGGCTGGGGAAATTAGCTATCTCTACAATGCTGCAGTCATTTTCAAGAATGCGTATCCCTGAGGATTATTCCAGAAAAACGTATGTAACTTTTATAAGTTCAAAAAACCCACTTTTGAAAATTGGGACCCAAACATTGTCATCGAAGCCAGCAGGGGCTGTGGCGGTGTCTGCCGCTTAGGAAGGCTGCCTTCCCCCTCCTCTGCGGGGGCCCTGTGACCAGACGCCGTCTGGCACGGGGCCGGTGGGCGTGTCTGGCCAGTGGCAGCACGAGGCGGCGTGTCGCCATTTCTTTCTCAGGTGTGCGTAAAGGTTGCTGGGAACTCACCGCCCGGAGGAAGCCGCCTTCACAGAGCCGGCCTTCTCAAACAGCTGGGCCTTTGCTGCCACTCTGAAAAGGAAGTGACTGCATGTAAATACGGTTTTATGAATGACTCCGTGTTATCTTCATGCTTCCACTTTTGGAAAGATGACCTTCATTTAAAAAAATGAAGTCAGCCAGAAAATCAACCAGCTCAGCGTGAACATTCAAGCCAAACAGGATGGGCTGGGCCGGGGTGCCCCTTCTGCCCACCCCCCCCAGCTGTGCCTTAAACTTCAGTTGAGAGGGATTTGAGCTGCGGGGTCCTCTCCTGAGGACCTTACACCTCGAACCCCTTTTCTGCTTCAGAAAACAAGGAAACAGAGAGGAAGCTTTTCTTCCCACTCTGCTTCCGGCTGGAGGCGAGGGAAGAATGGGAGCATGGAGTCAATGGGACAGGGGCGGCGAGGTCCCCCTGACTGCTGGCTGGAGGCGAGGGAAGAATGGGAGCATGGAGTCAATGGGACAGGGGCGGCGAGGTCCCCCTGACTGCTGGGAGCAAGCAGACCCTCCACCCTGTGGCTGCCCTACCTGTCTCTTGTCCCCTGAGAAGCCGAGCCCTGAGCGGGTGCGCGGCGCCCTGAGCGGGTGCGCGGCGCCCTGAGCGGGTGCGCGGCGCCCTGAGCGGGAGCGCGGCGCCCTGAGCGGGAGCGCGGCGCCCTGAGCGGGTGTGCGCGGCGCCGAGCGGGAGCGCGGCGCCCTGAGCGGGTGCGCGGCGCCCTGAGCGGGTGCGGCGGTCTGCAGAGTCGGTGCGTGGCGCTCTGCCCCCCCGGGGGACACAGGCAAAGCAAACCTGTCCTCACTTACACTGAGCCAGGCCTCTGGTAGCCATTGCTGGACGCCGTGTCTGGCCTTAGCCTCCTGAACATTTTGGGGGGCAGCTCTGGGTTTGGTGTGGCTTTGGGTGACTCCTTGGAGCCTAGAGAAGTTAAGCTTTGAACGGATCCGCTGTAGCTCTTGTTTCCTAAAAAGCAAGCCCAGGAGAACAGACAAAATAATAGCACTAACGCTGTACGCGTGCACCACAAAGGAAGCATTTCCTCCAGGGCTGAACGGGAAGGCACAGAATGTTCTTTGGGTGCAGCTGTCCCCCACTCAGCAGATCAAAATCTACGGTAATTACAAAGACATCGCCTCCGGCAGGGAGAGAGGCAGGCAGAGGGTGACAGGATCGGGAGGATCCAGGCGCCAAGCAGAAGAGCGTATGTCCTTCGTTTCAGCCCTTAGCCTCGCTGCGGCATGGCGGGCGCGCAGGTGGTCACCGCCCGGGCCCGCGCTGCTTACCTTCAGCTGCAGAGACAGATCGGAGAGAGCAGCCCGGGGTTCTCCGGAGCCCCGGAAGCCCGTAGGGGCCCTTCTTGACAGGGTCCGCGGGTGGGGAGCCGTCCCCCGGGCTGGCCACCGAGGCCACGCTCTGACTGTCCGACTCGGCGTCTGTTTTGGCGGCGTCTTCGCGAGAGCTCGATTCGGGGCTGGTGGTCCAGAGACCCAGACTCTTCTGCCCACTGGAGGGCGACGGGGGTGGCGATCCAGGGGACCCCTCCGGGCTTCTCCCGGGGCGGGCAGGGGGCCGGCTTGCTCGTGCTGTTCTGTTCGGAGGAGTGGGAGGACAGGGACTCGATGCTGCCCATGGGCGTGCTGTCCGGGCTGCTGCTGTACGAGTCACCTGAGCGGCAGGACGCAGACAGACAACGCTGAACGCTGGCCGCAGGCTACCCGCCCCTCCCCTGCCCAACCGGACCCCGCAGGTCTGCGCAGCCCAGGGCTGGCCTCGGTACTGCGGAACGCCCAAGCAGGATTCTGTCCAGAGCTCGGAACCGCTGCCTGGTGTTCACACACTGACCCCGGTGAGACTGCGTGTCTCAAGCAGTGTGGAGGTGGAAACGCAGCTCCCACTGGGGACGGCTCGGGACTCGGTGGACCAGAGGCCGGTACCCGCCTTCACCTTCCCATCCCCAGTGATGGAGGCAGTCCACACACACCAGCCCATCCACACACACGCCCTCCATGCACACGCCCCTCCACGCACACGCCCCTCCACGCACACGCCCCTCCACGCACACACCCCTGGATCCACGCACACGCCCCTCCACACAGACGCCCCTCCACGCACACGCCCCTCCACGCACACGCCCCCTCCACGCACACGCCCCTCCACGCACACGCCCCCTCCATGCACACGCCCCCTCCACGCACACGCCCCCTCCACGCACACGCCCCTCCACGCACACGCCCTTCCACGCACACACCCCTGGATCCACGCACACGCCCCTCCACACAGACGCCCCTCCACGCACACGCCCCTCCACGCACACGCCCCTCCACGCACACACCCCTGGATCCACGCACACGCCCCTCCACACAGACGCCCCTCCACGCACACGCCCCTCCACGCACACGCCCCTCCACGCACATACCCCTGGATCCACGCACACGCCCCTCCACGCACACGCCCCTCCACGCCCCTCCGTGCAGGCACTACAGGGGCACAGCTACAAGAGGCCGGCTGTCTGGTGAAGCTTATTTTCTTACTACTCTTAAAATAATCATATCAAGGAGCCAGAGACAGACGTGGAGCACCGCCACGCACATCCACGCACACTCAGACCGTTTTGTTAAGTGAGGTCTGCAGGGAGGCGCGAGCGGAGGCCGCGGTGTGGAGACGGCGCGGCTCGAGCTGCCCGTGTGAGAATGCATGGTGGGGACCTCTTTCCTTCCTTCCTCCCCGACACCCCAAGGCCAGGCTCTGAGAACTCAGCGTGAGAGCCAGCAAGCAAGACCATGGCTATTTTCACTGACTTTCTCCTGTTTTCTTATGAACCACTTGGACGACAGGACCAAACCTGGCCATTCCTACCGCGCTGAATGGCGCCCGGACTCCGTCTTCCTCCCCCTTGGTGGCAACAGTGGATTTGCGGTCCAGGGAACCCTGGGGGGGAGGGGGTGCGGCTGCACTTACTGTCGGGCTCGGCCAGGCACGGCGTGTACCGCCCCCGGGGCTTCCGAGGGCCGGTGGACAGGCAGATGGCGCGCGCCCTGCGGGACCCGGATCGAGACTGGGGCTGGGGGAGAGGCACGTTCGGGTCTGGGGCCGAGTGGAAGATCTGCACAAGAGAGACGCGGCCAGACTCAGGGACAAGGGCAAGGTCAGCACGAGAGCCACACCGCGGAAACCTCAGAACCACAGTGCTGGCTGACACACGCACACACCGTGTACACAAGCACACACACGCACACGCCACGCATGCACACACCATGCATGTGCGCATGCACACGCACACGCACACACAGAGTCCTTGTGTGACAGGACGCTTCCTCCGCAGTCTTTCTTTTCCATAGCTCCGTATGTCCCAGGAGTGCGAGTCAGGTGAACGATAGCTTTACGCACCCGCACGCAGGACTGGGGGTCTGGGTCAGGACCCCGCCTCGTCTGCAGGGCGCCCCTCCGCCCTCCTCCGAGGTGGCTCAAGCAAGGCTCCCACTGTGGACGGAGGCGTGGAAGCCCAGCCTACCTTCTCGTAGTGCTCGATGAGGATCTCCACCACGATGTTCTGGAACTTGATGCTCATCATGGCGGCCACCGTCTCCTCCTGGGCTCTCATCAGCGTGGGGCCAAATATGACGCCCAGATTGGAGACGGTCATGAGGTTCTGCTGGCTGTGCAGCGACACCCTAGGGAGAGAGGTCAGGCGACAGGCTCAGCGGGGCGCCGGGCTGAGGGCAAGGCTCCGTGCCAGCGCGCCGGCCGCACAGCGCGAACACACTGCACTCGCTCCGTGGACTCACGGTCTGAGACCAATTCCGCTCCTCAGGGCTGGCCTGGGGAGCAATAACATTAAGAATGTAGAAAGCTCCTATGAAATCAACGGCAAGTTGTGGGCTGAAGCCATGGCTGCCACACTGCGAAACTCCTGCCAGCCGGCCCCTGCTCTCCCCCCACAGCCTGCCCCTGCTCTCCCCCTCCCCCACAGCCTGCCCCTGCTCTCCCCCCCCACAGCCTGCCCCTGCTCTCCCCCCACAGCCTGCCCCTGCTCTCACCCTCAGCCTGCCCCTGCTCTCCCCCCACAGCCTGCCCCCTGCTCTCCCCCCACAGCCTGCCCCCTGCTCCCCCCCCTCCCCCACAGCCTGCCCCTGCTCTCCCCCCACAGCCTGCCCCTGCTCCCCCCCTCCCCCACAGCCTGCCCCTGCTCTCCCCCTCCCCCACAGCCTGCCCCTGCTCTCCCCCCACAGCCTGCCCCTGCTCTCCCCCTCCACAGCCTGCCCCTGCTCTCCCCCTCCCCCACAGCCTGCCCCTGCTCTCCCCCTCCACAGCCTGCCCCTGCTCCCCCCCTCCCCCACAGCCTGCCCCTGCTCTCCCCCTCCACAGCCTGCCCCTGCTCCCCCCCTCCCCCACAGCCTGCCCCTGCTCTCCCCCTCCCCCACAGCCTGCCCCTGCTCTCCCCCCACAGCCTGCCCCTGCTCTCCCCCTCCACAGCCTGCCCCTGCTCTCCCCCTCCCCCCACAGCCGGCCCCCTGCTCTCCCCCCCACAGCCTGCCCCTGCTCTCCCCCCCCACAGCCTGCCCCTGCTCTCCCCCCACAGCCTGCCCCTGCTCTCCCCCCACAGCCTGCCCCTGCTCTCCCCCCACAGCCGGCCCCTGCTCTCCCCCCACAGCCTGCCCCTGCTCTCCCCCTCCCCCACAGCCTGCCCCTGCTCTCCCCCTCCCCCACAGCCGGCCCCTGCTCTCCCCCACAGCCTGCCCCTGCTCTCCCCCCCGCAGCCTGCCCCTGCTCTCCCCCCACAGCCTGCCCCTGCTCTCCCCCCCACAGCCTGCCCCTGCTCTCCCCCTCCCCCACAGCCTGCCCCTGCTCTCCCCCCCCACAGCCTGCCCCTGCTCTCCCCCCACAGCCTGCCCCTGCTCTCCCCCCACAGCCTGCCCCTGCTCTCCCCCCTCCCCCACAGCCTGCCCCTGCTCTCCCCCCCACAGCCTGCCCCTGCTCTCCCCCTCCCCCACAGCCTGCCCCTGCTCTCCCCCCCACAGCCTGCCCCTGCTCTCCCCCCACAGCCTGCCCCTGCTCTCCCCCCACAGCCGGCCCCTGCTCTCCCCCCACAGCCTGCCCCTGCTCTCCCCCACAGCCTGCCCCTGCTCTCCCCCTCCCCCACAGCCGGCCCCTGCTCTCCCCCCCACAGCCTGCCCCTGCTCTCCCCCCACAGCCTGCCCCTGCTCTCCCCCCACAGCCTGCCCCTGCTCTCCCCCCCACAGCCTGCCCCTGCTCTCCCCCCACAGCCTGCCCCTGCTCTCCCCCCACAGCCTGCCCCTGCTCTCCCCCCTCCCCCACAGCCTGCCCCTGCTCTCCCCCTCCCCCACAGCCTGCCCCTGCTCTCCCCCCCACAGCCTGCCCCTGCTCTCCCCCCACAGCCTGCCCCTGCTCTCCCCCCACAGCCTGCCCCTGCTCTCCCCCCCACAGCCTGCCCCTGCTCTCCCCCCTCCCCCACAGCCTGCCCCTGCTCTCCCCCCCACAGCCTGCCCCTGCTCACCCCCTCCCCCACAGCCTGCCCCTGCTCTCCCCCCTCCCCCACAGCCTGCCCCTGCTCTCCCCCCCACAGCCTGCCCCTGCTCTCCCCCCACAGCCTGCCCCTGCTCTCCCCCCACAGCCTGCCCCTGCTCTCCCCCCCACAGCCTGCCCCTGCTCTCCCCCTCCCCCACAGCCTGCCCCTGCTCTCCCCCCCACAGCCTGCCCCTGCTCACCCCCTCCCCCACAGCCGGCCCCTGCTCTCCCCCCTCCCCCACAGCCTGCCCCTGCTCTCCCCCTCCCCCACAGCCTGCCCCTGCTCTCCCCCTCCCCCACAGCCTGCCCCTGCTCTCCCCCCACAGCCTGCCCCTGCTCTCCCCCTCCCCCACAGCCTGCCCCTGCTCTCCCCCCCACAGCCTGCCCCTGCTCTCCCCCCACAGCCTGCCCCTGCTCTCACCCTCAGCCTGCCCCTGCTCTCCCCCCACAGCCTGCCCCTGCTCTCCCCCCACAGCCTGCCCCTGCTCTCCCCCTCCCCCACAGCCTGCCCCTGCTCTCCCCCTCCCCCACAGCCTGCCCCTGCTCTCCCCCTCCCCCACAGCCGGCCCCTGCTCTCCCCCTCCCCCACAGCCTGCCCCTGCTCTCCCCCCCCCACAGCCTGCCCCTGCTCTCCCCCTCCCCCACAGCCTGCCCCTGCTCTCCCCCCACAGCCGGCCCCTGCTCTCCCCCTCCCCCCACAGCCTGCCCCTGCTCTCCCCCTCCCCCACAGCCTGCCCCTGCTCTTCCCCTCCCCCATGGCTCAACAAAGGAAATGACTGATGACCAGGAGAGAGACAGCCGGTCCCTCGGACCTGACCCTCACGCATCACATGAGGACTGCAGCAGCAGTGTGCATGCGATCGCTACACTCGCGTGCACCCGTCAGGGGCCGACTTAAAACATAAGAAAGGGCGCAAACGCAGCACTGGCTGCATTTGCTGATCACAGGACTTACACCACCGAAGGGGAAACATTCGCTTCTCCAACGGACCCTTCAACGGTTGAGTTCTCTTCAGAATGAGTTTCTACACTCAGGCATCATATGTGCTCCCGCCTGAGTCATCACAGCAGGCCCGTTACTCGTGTCACACACATAGAAAATTCTAGAAGCCCTCGAGGTCATGCACATCAGGAAGAGAGGTGTCTCCCATCTCAAGTCTCCCAAATGCAAGTCCAGGGTTTCCCTGAGCCCACCAAACCCATCTCTGCTCGGCAGAGGGGCGTCCAGCCTCCTCTTCCTGCCTCTCTTCCTTCTAGAACGTCCCTGGCAGCTCCCCAGGCTGCACAAGCACACGGAAGCCGCCATCATGGCTGCCTTGAAAACACACCGACACAGGCGCCGCGGCTCCCGCCGGCCAGCCCAGCTGCTCAGGGGGCTGGAGATGAGACACGGTCTCAAGCACGTACCTCGCTGGGACATCTCTGTCTAACCACTGACATCCGTTAGCCTGCTGCAAGGTAATGTCTGAGGAAGCAGCATGCACGGATGCACACACACACAGAGCACAAGGTTACACTCCTGCCCAAAGGACATCACTAACTGTACTCCACAACCACAAGAGAGAAAACTTCAGCACAGAAGACATTCCCTGTTCACCGAAGCGGGGAGACCAGCTGGGCCCACTGCCCACAGGAAACACACCGCTCACGCCACAACACGCGTGAAGAAGCCGTGATTCCTCACACACTTCCCGATGGCTATCCATCTCACCATTATTTAACAACTGCAAAGCATATGACTACTCACATAATAGAAGCCGGTAAAGCTACACACAAACACACAAAGATGTATTTTAGACAGCGTCACGTATTTTAAGAAGACACCAGCAGCTCTTAGCGAGTGAACACGTAGAGAGATAAGCAAGCTAAGCCAGAGAATTACTTGACCAGGTGCTTGATTAAGATGTCCAGCATCTCTCTGTTCTTCTCGGGCAGTTTGTGTACCAAGGCGTGCACGGCCTCCACCCTGTAGTTCTGGTCGTCTGACTCTGTGGGGAAGAAAGGTTGCAGACGCTCAAGTTTTAACTGCAGGCATCATAACCTCGCCTGCGCCCCTGAGCCCCCAAAGCCTCGCTTCACAGAGCGGCTGTCTCCATTCCCCGAGACACCAGAGCGCTCCCTCATCTGCTGGGTGTGGAAAAGGCCAGACTGTGTGAAATCAGGGCTGAGGTACCCAGATGTCCCCAAGAAAACCTAACTGGGAATGGAAGACAAGACACACACACACACACACACACACACACACACACACACACACACACAACGTCACTTCCCAACTTTGAGTCCGGGGACCCAGCTGTGGGTCCGTCCCTGCCAAGGAATTGTGACACTTCTAGATCTTCAAATGTCTTCTTTTACACTGAGATGTATTTAAAAAAAACCAAAACAAAATGAAGAACTGAATTTCGTTGAGGAACCTAGTTTGGCATAGAGTAGCTAGTTCCCGCTTGAGTCATACAATAGGTGAATTCCTGGACAGACAACGTATTCTAAATATCGCTGTAATGAATGATGGGATTGCCAGTTGCATCGGAACAACTGAAGAACCAAAGTTCGCGTTGAAAAATCCCACTTGTTATAAAGCAAACTCTGCATAAAGGGACCTGGGCTTAGAGCTGGGAAGTGAAGTAAAAAAACAAACAACAACACCCTAGGAAGCGGTGTCAGTCACGACAGCAAACGACACTGGAACTTTCACTCTTCTTTCTCACCGCACCAGACTGTCAACCGACAGCCTGGTTTTCATCAGACTCTGTCTTCCTAAGTGACAAAAACATTTAGTTTACTCTGCGATCCGTATTGGCTAAGAAGCCCTGCTGCGGGCCGCAACAACACAGACAAGGGTGCTGAGCAACAGGCGGAGGATCCACGCCAGCACACGGTGTCCACGCGCACCCCAGCCTGCCACGGCGGCCCACAGCCCACCCACAGCACCAAGCCGTGCCCACGCACACCCCAGCCTGCCCACGGCAGCCCACAGCCCACCCACAGCACCAAGCAGCGTCCACGGCAGCCCACAGCCCACCCACAGCACCAAGCAGTGCCCACGCACACCCCAGCCTGCCCACGGCAGCCCACAGCCCACCCACAGCACCAAGCCGTGCCCACGCGCACCCCAGCCCATCCACAGCACCCCAGCCTGCCACGGCGGCCCACAGCCCACCCACAGCACCAAGCCGTGCCCACGCACACCCCAGCCTGCCACGGCGGCCCACAGCCCACCCACAGCACCAAGCAGCGTCCACGGCAGCCCACAGCCCACCCACAGCACCAAGCAGTGCCCACGCGCACCCCAGCCCATCCACAGCACCCCAGCCAGCCACGGCGGCCCACAGCCCACCCACAGCACCAAGCAGCGTCCACGGCGGCCCACAGCCCACCCACAGCACCAAGCCTTGTCCACGCACACCCCAGCCTGCCACGGCGGCCCACAGCCCACCCACAGCACCAAGCCGTGTCCACGCGCACCCCAGCCTGCCACGGCGGCCCACAGCCCACCCACAGCACCAAGCAGCGTCCACGGCAGCCCACAGCCCACCCACAGCACCAAGCCGTGCCCACGCACACCCCAGCCTGCCACGGCACCACAGCCTGCCCACGGCGGCCCACAGCCCACCCACAGCACCAAGCCGTGCCCACGCGCACCCCAGCCTGCCACGGCAGCCCACAGCCCACCCACAGCACCAAGCAGTGTCCACGCACACCCCAGCCTGCCACGGCAGCCCACAGCCCACCCACAGCACCAAACAGCGTCCACGGCAGCCCACAGCCCACCCACAGCACCAAGCAGTGTCCACGCACACCCCAGCCTGCCACGGCGGCCCACAGCCCACCCACAGCACCAAGCAGCGTCCACGCGCACCCCAGCCTGCCACGGCGGCACACAGCCCACCCACAGCACCAAGCAGCGTCCACGCGCACCACAGCCCACCCACAGCACCAAGCAGTGTCCAAGCACACCCCAGCCTGCCCACGGCGGCACACAGCCCACCCACAGCACCAAGCCGTGCCCACGCACACCACAGCCTGCCACGGCAGCCCACAGCCCACCCACAGCACCAAGCAGTGTCCACGCACACCCCAGCCCATCCACAGCACCACAGCCTGCCCACGGCGGCCCACAGCCCACCCACAGCACCAAGCAGTGTCCACGCACACCCCAGCCCATCCACAGCACCACAGCCTGCCCACGGTGGCCCACAGCCCACCCACAGCACCAAGCAGTGTCCACGCACACCCCAGCCCATCCACAGTGGCCCACAGCGTTCACGCACACCCCAGCCCATCCACAGCAGCCCAGGGCGTTCACGAACACCCCAGCCCATCCACAGCGGCCCACGGTGTCCACACACACCCCAGCCCATCCACAGCAGTCCACAGCATTCACGCACACCCCAGCCCACCCACAGCAGCCCACAGCGTTCACGCACACCCCAGCCCACCCACAGCGGCCCACGGTGTCCACACACACCCCAGCCCATCCACAGCAGCCCAGGGCATTCACGCACACCCCAGCCCATCCACAGCAGTCCACAGCGTTCACGCACACCCCAGCCCATCCACAGCAGTCCACAGCGTTCACGCACACCCCAGCCCTCCACAGCAGTCTAGGGCGTTCACGCACACCCCAGCCCACCCACAGCGGCCCACAGTGTTCACGCACACCCCAGCCCACACACAGCAGTCCACAGTGTCCACACACACCCCAGCCCACACACAGCAGCCCACAGTGTCCACACATACCCCAGCCCATCCACAGCGGCCCATGGTGTCCACGCACACCCCAGCCCACCCACAGCAGCCCACAGCGTTCACGCACACCCCAGCCTACCCACAGCAGTCTAGGGCGTTCACGCACACCCCAGCCTACCCACAGCGGCCCACGGTGTCCACACACACCCCAGCCCACCCACAGCAGCCCACGGTGCGTGGTACTCACTGACGGCCAGGATGAAGTCCTGGTGCAGCTTGTACGTCATCAGCGGCTCAGCCAGGCACCTGCGGCAGAGACAGAAGGCGGGGTGCTGACGGAGGCGTCCTCCCCAGCCCTCCCCGCCAGTTCCAGAGCCTCTTTAGGAACTCAGAGATTCTCTCTGCTCAACTAGCGTCAGCGGGCGATGGGGCGGGACAGGGACGGTTACAGACTTCACAGACCCCGGGCCCTGCACGGCTGGCTCTCTCAGGAGGAGAGGCTAGGGATTACTTCATCCAGGACCAAAGCCAGCCTCACATAGTTCAAAAAGCAAAAAAATGTATTTCAATTTGTTTAAAAAATACACTAAATATCCTCATAGGTTAATATGAAACAAAGAATGATCCTTCAGAGCTGGGTGCTGGTGGCTTATTCCTGTAACCCCAGCAACGGTGGAGACCCATCGCAGGTAGAGGCCAGGATGCAGAGGCCAGGACATAGAGGCCATGCTGCTCAGGGAAGGTCGAGAGCCTTCTGGACACGCAGCCGGGTGCTGCGGGCACGTCACCAGCCAAGCTACGGCAGGAAGCCCGCACGAGGCGGGTGCCAGAAACCACCGCGGTGGAGAGACAGACGCGGTCTCACAAGAACCAACCCAAAAATGGCTGGCGGAGTGGCCTCGCCGCAGCGCAGCCTCCACGCGCAGGCCTGATTCACACTCCAGCACCGTGCTCTTCTGAACACATGAACTCAGTGCTCACAAGACGCGGCTGCCTTGGAAGGTGCTACTGAAAAAAAAAACGCTTACCAGTTCCAGAACGCAAAATGAGCGCAGCGGGATTGTGTGTCCAGCCGGCCTGTGTGCACACAGCCCCCACGCGTGCAGACAGCTCCCTCTGCCCAGCCGGCCTGTGTGCACAGAGCCTCCCTGTGCCCAGCCGGCCTGTGTGCACAGAGCCTCCCTGTGCCCAGCCGGCCTGTGTGCACAGAGCCTCCGTGCACACAGCCTCCCTCTGCCCAGCCTCCCTCCCAGTGCACACAGCCCCCACGCGTGCACACAGCTCCCTCTGCCCGGCCGGCCTATGTGCACACTGCCCCCACACATGCAGACAGCTCCCTCTGCCCAGCCGGCCTGTGTGCACACTGCCCCCACGCGTACAGACAGCTCCCTCTGCCCAGCCGGCCTGTGTGCACACTGCCCCCATGCGTGCACACAGCTCCCTCTGCCCAGCTGGCCTGTGTGCACACAGCCTCCATGCGTGCAGACAGCTCCCTCTGCCCAGCTGGCCTATGTGCACACAGCCCCCACGCGTGCACACAGCCCCCACGCGTGCACACAGCCTCCACGTGTGCACAGAGCCTCCCTGTGCCCAGCCCCCACACGTGCAGACAGCTCCCTCTGCCCAGCTGGCCTGTGTGCACACTGCCCCCACGCGTGCACACAGCTCCCTCTGCCCGGCCTGCCTGTGTGCAGAGCCTTCATGCACACAGCCTCCCTGTGCCCAGCCTCCCTCCCAGTGCACACAGCCCCCACGCGTGCACACAGCCTCCCTGTGCTCAGCCCCCACGCATGCACACAGCCTCTCTTTGCCCAGCCTGCCTGTGTGCACAGAGCCTCCATGCACACAGCCTCCCTGTTCCCAGCCTCCCTCCCAGTGCACACAGCCTCCACGCGTGCAGACAGCCTCCCTGTGCCCAGCCTCCCTCCAGTGCACACAGCCTCTGGCCTCTCCCCAGTGCACACAGCCTCCCTGTGCCCAGCCTCCCCCCAGTGCACACAGCCCCGGGAACACACCTGAGGTAGTTTTTCAGCCCACTGGTGATCGTCTTATTGTCCCACAGTTCAACATCAATGTCAATATCTGGAGGGGATTTGGGAGCTGGAAAGAATAAAAGTATTTCAGCTGTGCAATTCAGAATGTGACTACCGACACACAAGGTCGAGGGTCGGTCACTGCGCAGGACGCGGCAGCCGTCGGGCCGCGCACGCTCACTGCATCCCGGCGTGCACCGCGTGATCGCAGGGCTCTGCATGGATTAAAACAGTCAATCCTCAGAAGTCTCAAGACACGGGGAAAGCTCACCCCTGTGACAGAGGAGGCAGCTGAGATGCGGGGAAGTTGAGTGTGTCCAGGCTGAGCCGGGATGTGATGTGCGGGCATCCGGGCGTTACCTCGCCACAGGTGACCAAAGCCAGGCCTGGAAGCCAAACCCAGCCCTGGAAGCCAAACCCAGCAGTGCCAGGATGCCCCTCACGCTTAAAGTTCCTCTGTGACAGTTGGACCTCCAACCCCGGGCATGAGGGCCGCAGAGGGCTCAGTGGCTGTACACGAGCCCATCTGTGAAGCCCCCGTCCAATAAACACACCGAGTTAAGATTAACTACGAATTTAAAATACAGAGGGCAGCAGCCATGTGTGCACGAGAAGCCTGTGTTCCGGGGCCTCGCGTGGGTCTGCGTGCGTCCTGGGGCGCCACTTACAGAAGGTGGTGCTCAGGAGCTTCTGGACCTTGGAGTTGACTCCTCCGATGCGGTACAGGCCGAGGACGGTGATGCCTGAGGGGAGGGAAAAGCGGGCGGGAGGTGCGCGGCTCGGCAGATGCCCGCCACGCGCCACGCCGCACAAGAGCAGCCTGGCGGCTCCGCGGTGTGGCGGGTCCAGCCGGCCCTGCACACGCGCTTCCCAGAGCAGACCCCGCACGGCGGTCGGAGAGCCTCGGAGAGCCTCTGCGAGTCCAGGGAAGCCCCCAGCTGCTACTCTACACAAACGGCATCGGGAAGGGAGGGACGGGTATTCCTCATCCCCCGGTCTTCTGAGTCGGGGATGCCTGTGTGTTCCACACGCATTTTTACAGGTGGGGAACGGACCCCGGCTTCTCCGCTGAGAGGCTGGCGCCGGCCGCCCACTCACCTCGCGTCTCCACGGCTTGGATGCATTTCCTCACGAAGTTGAAGCCGGCTTCATTCAGGTACACTGGAAGAGGGGGTGACCGTGAGCTGGGCACCCGCAGGGAGTTGGGCCCCGAGCCGGCCTCCTCCCAGACGCACTGCCTCCCTGACGGGACGCGAGTGCGGCCAGCCGCGTGACAGGGACGCACGGGAGCTGCGTGACAGGGACGCGCGGCTATCAGAGGTCGGGAGCCGACGGCGTCACTCCACGAAAAGAAAAACGGTTACCACTTCCTGGCCAGACGATACGACAACGGAAATGTTAGAATCAAAGAAGCTGCGTCACTCAGAACAGGGTGAGTGTGTGGTGGTCCTTCACAGAGGCGCGCGCCGCCCCTCGCCTGAGATCCAACAGCTGAACACAGACTGCCCAACCAGGGTTCAGACTAGTCTAGAACAGAGTTCCAGACTGCTCTAGAACAGGCAACGCCAAGTGCTCACTGACCGGTTATTCCTCTGCACCAAGCTTGCTCAAGTTCCTCCCCCGACACGTTCCTGCGGGTGAGCAGAGCCTGGCCTCAGCTCTCTCTCCCTCCTCAGAGGCGGCCGGAGGGAATCAGAACCCAACTATGCCCGGTTCCCAGGAACTGAAACCGTGCCACACCCATGCTTTGGCCTCCGGGATAAAGCGGAGGACAGAGCTAATAAACTTCCTTGATTCCGTCAGACGTTGAGTCTGAACATCCCCCCCCCCCCCGCCCCCCCCCCTCCCCCCCTCAGCCATTCAGGCTACAGCTTTTACTGAAACCCAAATGACGTTTCCATAGGCAGCGTAGCAGCACAAAAGCTATTCATCTTGGCAGAATTTGAAGAGCCGCAAGGAGAGGAAACCGCATGGCCTTCCACAGTGCTCAAAAACCAGAGTCCTTGTGCCGTGCACGCTTCTTCTTCATCCAGACCTGACCTGACCCCGGATGCACCGGACACACCACACGCACCGCACGCGGCCGCAGCGGCCAGCGTGGAGAGACGCCCACCTTAACCGAGTCTCCTTCACCCCCTGCCTTGGCTTTTCAGATGCAAAGACACACGCATCTCCTGCTGGGCTCCAGAGGAGTTCTAAGTGCCTCTTCCTCACACTCCACACATTGCCTGGGTCCAGGGTCAAGGACAAGCTGAAAAGCCACCACACAAAAGCCACGCGTGATCAGGAACAAGGCTCAGGCCACCAACAGAGAATACTAGACAAAGGAAACAGGAAAGAGTAGCTGCGTTTTCCCTTGCAAACCGCCAGGCCCAGGATACGTATCTGGGCCATGCAGAAAGAGGATCTGTTTCCTGGCAAGGTGAGTTCCAATGGCAGAATCCTGAGGGACCTGGGTGATGTAGTTTTTAATAAAAATACCCCAGTGGCACAGCTTGAGGGTAGTTCAATGTGAACCTTAGTTGGCACCTGTTTAATACTGACAGTAAATCTTACCTCCCTCAAAATGAATCCATTTCCGAAGTCTTAGGATTCTACAAAAAGGCCATTAACAGCCTATCTCATAATCAGAAAGGTATTTGTGGACAGAATATCTTGCAACTGGCCATTTCTTGGGGAGTACTGCCAAAAAAAAAAACCCAAACCACCACCACCATCACCTCCAAAAAAACAACCAACTATCAACTGCCTCAGAGAGCCAGCCAGAGATAAGACAGGGCAAATAAAAGCCCGAGGAATGAAAGTTAATTCTGATGTAAGTGATAGAGAAATGGTTTGATTATGAACCATTTCTTTGATTCAAGATTTCATGTTTTCAATTCCATCAGATGGAAGGTTTGTTAACATATCACAAATAACCTCAGTGGTAAAATAACTAATAAAACGTCAACGGTGGTGGGAGTGATTCTCTGGGCGCATACTGGGAAGGCAGCCTTCCCTTCCCCGAGCCCACAGCGGCTGCTGGCTAAAGGTCAGGTTATGCTGGAGTAGCGAGGGGAGGGCCGCTGCTGGCTTCCCCTCCCCGAGTCCCAGGGCCTCACAGACCGGTCCAGCGAGCCTCGCGCTCACAGGCAGAGGGGAGATTTCCCGGCTTGAGTCGCTCCTGCCATCTCAGAAGGGCTGGCGGCACCTCCTCTGCTAACAGGGATGGCCGCTCCCTTCCCGCGCTGGGGAGAAGCCGAGCCCTCGCCCTTCTTCAGCCGCACGATTCGGACGCGCCTTCTACTTTTTCTCATCTAACTGTCAAAGCGCTTAACTGCGGTTTCTCTTTTCTGGCTTACTGCAAGGTTGGCAAGGTAGAAAGAAAAGGATTGTTTCTCATTAGCGGCCAGAACTATTTGCCAAGCTCAAATCCAGGCAGTTTCTGCTTTTTAACTCTTAGCCGTGCCGAGAGCCGGGTCCACGCGTGCAACACTGCACCTTCCCCAGAGACGCCCAGACACCGCCACAGATGAAGGTCAGGAAAACGTGGTGTGCATCACACCACACACCACCACACACCTGTGAAATTCACTCATCCGTCAGGAAGAATACCGAGCCATTTTCAGGGACAGAAAAAAAATTACATTAAGTGAAATGTCAGGCTCAGGGAGACACAGGGAGTGTGTTTTTCTCTCCTGTGGAATTTAGATCTAAAATAGATAAAGATGTGAAAGAATAGACAGGGCTGTATGCACGCGCGCGTGTACACACATACACCAACTAAAGGATAGTGCACACAGGACGGATTCAAACAGTTGTAACTCAGTTGAACAACTGCCGTACGGTTCAGTGAGGCCGGGCGAGGTGGAGGGAGAGGCGCAGACGCAGGGGAGAGGAAGTGTGGGCAGAGTCATCACACCACGTGCGTACGTGGAACAGAGCCCGGTGGTGGGGGCTGGGTGGGTGAGGACGGGGGGAGGGGAAGGGGCGCGGGAGTGTGAAGATGCTCCGCGCGCTCACTACAGACGTGGACTTGAGAGCCCTTCATACAGCCGTTTGAAGATAATGCAAATAAACAATATGCTACAGTAAAACTAATAAAAGGTTGTGAAGGGGGGAAATGACTTACTTTCTTCTTTCTTGCTAATGATGGCGGGCAGGGTGTAAATCTGAAAACAGAGGATGTGAATCAGTGGCTTGCGTTACCGTGCGCTGGGAAGGTGGGCAGACGCTGCTGCGGCCTGCACCTGCCGTGGCCCGAGGCCAGGCCCCTTGTCCCGGCCCCCTCCCTCCCCTGCGGTCCCCATCCATGGAAGGCTCTGGGCCTGGCCATCCGGCAGAGGCGTCCCAGCCTGCGGCCAGCACCATGCCTACCACTCCCCAGAGTCCTCACAGCGCCTCCCAGGTGGCTGCCTCCGGCCACCTGCTCAGTGCCTAATCTCACCCGGACTTTGCTGAGCTAACCAGCCGCCCCTCACCCGGCTCTAGCTCGGGCTTCTGGACTATCGATGGAGAAGTGAAAAGGCTTCATATTAAAAAAAAATAATAAATCACAGACTATTTTTGTTTTGCAAAATATAATGAAACCGAAATAGGAAACTATAAAGAAAAGCAGAGCCCGAGTTTTGTATCCTTAAATTCAACAGACATACAAGGGCTCCTCCGAGTGACAAATGAACTCGGAACCACCATTCCCTAAGACTCAAGCAGCACCGTTGAGGGCCAGGGAGGCCCACCCAGGGCTGGGAGCACCACCCAGGGCTGGGAGCACCACCCAGGGCTGGGAGCACCACCAGGGGCTGGGAGCACCGTCGAGGGCCAGGGAGCACCACCCAGGGCTGGGAGCACCACCCAGGGCTGGGAGCACCACCCAGGGCTGGGAGCACCACCCAGGGCTGGGTGCACCACCAGGGGCTGGGAGCACCGTCGGGGGCCAGGGAGCCCCACCCAGGGCTGGGCGCACCACCAGGGGCTGGGAGCACCGTCGAGGGCCAGGGAGCACCACCCAGGGCTGGGAGCACCACCCAGGGCTGGGAGCACCACCAGGGGCTGGGAGCCCCACCCAGGGCTGGGAGCCCCACCCAGGGCTGGGCGCACCACCAGGGGCTGGGAGCACCGTCGAGGGCCAGGGAGCCCCACCCAGGGCTGGGAGCCAGCAGGCCCACCACAAGCAGCACCGTGGGTTCCTGTGCCACCACACGGGTATTCTGCACAGGCTCCTGAACCTGGAAGGTTCTACAATGGCAGGGTGGTGCTCTCCTTCTGGTCTCAGTTAAAGAGATGGGCACCAGGCCTCATGCCTGTAGCCCTAGCTACTTGGAAAAAGTTCCCAAGAGTCTCATCTCAACCAGTTTATAAAAAGCTGGGCATGACAGCAGCTCCTGTGGTCTGGCTACCTGGGAAGAGTAAGCAAGGGCAACTGGGTCCAGGCTGGCCTGAGAATAAATACAAGATCCTATTTGGAAAGATAAGCAAAAAGAGCTTGGGGCCATGGCTCAAGTGGGAGAGTGCCTGCCCAGCGAGCACAAGGCCCTGAGTTCAAACTCTAATACCCCCCTCTTCCTCACAGAACCCTCGGGGGCACTGCAAGTTATCATACCACATCCAACTGAAATAACAGCTAAATGAGAAAATGCTTCACACGGAGAGTTCCACCAACAAGAGCTTTACCAAAGCAGTTTCTTAACAACCGGCCGGGCTGGAGGCCGTGTCCCCTGGACTGGCTCATCGGCGTGTGCCGATCGCTCAGTGCAGAAAACCACCCCGAGTGCAGCCAGAGCAGCGACGAGGCTGTGGAGCAGATGCCATCTGCCCGGCCAGGCCGGAGACCAACACAGCGGCCCTCCTTCCACCCTGACACGGCCACCGTGCGCGGCCCACGAGCGACCGAACCCCCGGCTCCCCGCCCCCACCCGCCCCCAGCCGCGTGCCGCTCACCGGCTCCTTCCCGTCCATGGCTTCCAGCCACAGCTTCCGGTTGGCTTCGGAGAAGGCCTGAAGCGTGATGACGCCATGCCTGCGGGCAGAGCGTTCCCAGCGTTAGGCCGCCGAGCGGACACGCCACTACACGCTTACCAATCTCCAAACCTCCAAGAACAATCAAGGTAAAATGTGACCAGAAAGAAGGGCAGAGGACAAAGACAGGGGGAGGGAAGAAAGGGCACAGAAAACAAAGACAAGCGTGGACAGACGCACACACGTTCACACACGCGTGACTTTAGCTGTGATGACCACGGGTAGGAAACCCACGGAATGCTTTGGGTACAGGGCTGTCAGAAGGGCAGTTTTAAACTATTTTCTGTGATTCATTTCCTTTCTACATAAGTATTTGTGGCCTGCCTATGTGAAAGAGGGAAACAGGCACATGGCTTTCAGACAGACTGGAAAACACACACACGCTCCCCATGTTGACACGTACACCCAGGAAAGGCAAACATATCTAAAGGCACAAAGTGAAAAGATGAGTCCAGACCTTTCCACGACTTCTATGTCAAAGCAGAACCGCTTGTCGATCGAGTCCGTCTTTCGCCGGATGCAGGACTTTAACTTGAACATCTCTGGGGAGCTGGTCACGAGGCCGTTCTGGAAGAGGAAAGACAGTGCATGATCAACACCACACGTGAGCCAACACGTGCTCACCGGATCGAGCCACACGCCCGGCTGCTGCCCCATAAAACTGCTCCGTCAGCTGCGAGAGCTACGCCAGGCCAATCCGCCCTCAGCCCCAATGGGCACTGCCCGGGGTGGGGTCACACACGGCCCGTCAGATGGCCAAGACGCCACTGAACACAAAGACCGCAAGTCCCAAATGGCACAGCTTGCAGGAACTGAAACTCTGCAACAGGCTAGAAAGAGAGCCCTGCCGCGCCTAATCGACGTCCCCTAGAAGAAGAAAGGACCAGTGTGAAAAGGCAGAGACAAGTCCTGGGACCCCAGGACGGGGAGCCGAGCGTGGTGTGAGCGTGGTGTGAGCGTGTGTTCCAGCGCTGGACGGGAGCCGAGCGTGGTGTGAGCGTGGTGTGAGCGTGTGTGTCCAGCGCTGGATGGGGAGCCGAGCATGGTGTGAACATGGTGTGAGCATGTGTTTCCAGCGCTGGACGGGGAGCCAAGCGTCGTGTGAGCGTGTGTCCAGCGCTGGACGGGGAGCCGAGCATGGTGTGAGCGTGTCTGCCCAGCGCTGGACAGGGAGCCGAGCATGGTGTGAGCGTGTCTCTGTCCAGCGCTGGACGGGGAGCCGAGCGTGGTGTGGGCATGGTGTGAGCATGGTGTGAGCGTGTGTGTCCAGTGCTGGACAGTGGTGTGACCTAACCATCCTGGCTGTGCTGCACTGCTGACGTGGACGGCCACGCCGGCGTGTGAGGCTCTGCTGACGTGGACGGCCACGCCGGCGTGTGAGGCTCTGCTGACGTGGACGGCCACGCTGGCGTGTGAGGCTCTGCTGACGTGGATGGCCACGCCGGCGTGTGAGGCAGCGCTGACGTGGATGGCCACGCCGGCGTGTGAGGCAGTGCTGACGTGGACGGCCACGCCGGCGTGTGAGGCTCTGCTGACGTGGACGGCCACGCCGGCGTGTGAGGCTCTGCTGACGTGGACGGCCACGCTGGCGTGTGAGGCTCTGCTGACGTGGATGGCCACGCTGGCGTGTGAGGCTCTGCTGACGTGGATGGCCACGCTGGCGTGTGAGGCTCTGCTGACGTGGACGGCCACGCTGGCGTGTGAGGCTCTGCTGACGTGGACGGCCACGCTGGCGTGTGAGGGGCTGCTGACGTGGACAGCCACGCTGGCGTGTGAGGTAGCGCTGACGTGGATGGCCACGCTGGCGTGTGAGGGGCAGTGCTGACGTGGACGGCCACGCCGGCGTGTGAGGCTCTGCTGACGTGGATGGCCACGCTGGCGTGTGAGGGGCTGCTGACGTGGACGGCCACGCCGGCGTGTGAGGCTCTGCTGACGTGGACGGCCACGCTGGCGTGTGAGGCTCTGCTGACGTGGACGGCCACGCTGGCGTGTGAGGCTCTGCTGACGTGGACGGCCACGCTGGCGTGTGAGGCTCTGCTGACGTGGATGGCCACGCTGGCGTGTGAGGCTCTGCTGACGTGGATGGCCACGCTGGCGTGTGAGGGGCTGCTGACGTGGATGGCCACGCTGGCATGTGAGGCTCTGCTGACGTGGATGGCCACGCTGGCGTGTGAGGCTCTGCTGACGTGGACGGCCACGCCGGCGTGTGAGGGGCTGCTGACGTGGACGGCCACGCTGGCGTGTGAGGCAGCGCTGACGTGGACAGCCACGCTGGCGTGTGAGGCTCTGCTGACGTGGACGGCCACGCTGGCGTGTGAGGCTCTGCTGACGTGGACGGCCACGCCGGCGTGTGAGGCTCTGCTGACGTGGACGGCCACGCTGGCGTGTGAGGGGCTGCTGACGTGGACGGCCACGCTGGCGTGTGAGGCTCTGCTGACGTGGACGGCCACGCTGGCGTGTGAGGCTCTGCTGACGTGGACGGCCACGCCGGCGTGTGAGTCACTCTGATGTGGACAGCATCCATGGTCATGCCCGTGTCCAGCTCCCACTGGAGCAGCATCGTGTGGGATGGGACGGGACCTAGGCTCAGCCCAGCAGAGCTGCCCGGTGCATGTGAGATGCAGCCCATCTCGCCCAGCACTGCTTACTTAGGTCTTTGGTGGCGGAGCTCATGGTCTTACTGACTGTTTACATCACTAACTCGGGCTGTCACAAAAGCAGAATTTCTGGCAAACGCCACTCTGCAGAGTGGAAACTAGCTGCGACGGTGGTGGCGCTGAATACTTTTGTACGTTCTCCACGCCCCCTTTCAGTCTGAATTAAGACTGATGAACGCACAGCACAATACGCATCACCTGGCCTGTCCCTAACTTCACTAATTTCTGTGGACGTGGCCATGATCTAGACTACAAACTGGCTGAGTCATCCTCTAGGAATTTTGTGTCCCGATCTGTTAAAGTTGGATTGAGTTATCTATGGGATAATTATCTATGGGATAATTCTATCTATTGGAAGCTTAGGATAAATTCCAGCCCACGGACACTGAGGTCCTGGCTGGGCAATCTTACTTCCAAGTTCACTCATTAGGCATGTCCATATCTTAACTATCAAAATAACACGCCCTGTGCGGGTCTGCCCAGGGACCCCCATCCTACTTCTAAATCAGCCGCGTAAGACACATTCATGGACAAGTTAAAACCAGGACCATGAAAATCACTCAGCTCACAAAGATCCAAGAAAATGTTTCTGAACTTTCCCATCTTCTTTTTGAGTTGCTGCTCCCAGGTTTGAACTTGGTGCCTTACACGCTCACATGGCATTCTTGTTCGTGGCTGGTGCTCTACCACTTGAGCCACCCCTCCAGTCCAGCATTTTGTTGATTAACTGGAGACTTTTCTCCGTGGTGGGCTCTGAGTAATGACCCTAGGTCTGAACCTTCTGAGGGGCGAGGGTTACAGACGTGGCCACTGATGCCCAGTGACTTTCAATTGTTAGGAATATCTAGTGTCATTAGAGAAGTGCGAACATGGATGACTATTTTCATTACTAACAAGCTTTCTATTATTACTACTTTACAAAAAGAATGAAACTCGAGACTCACCACTTTTCCGCCGGACTTCATTTCTGAAACACTCATGGTGAAGGTTTTGCTTCCCTTGTCATACGTGCAGTAATGTTTGGTCCACGTGAAACCAAGCGGTCCTAATGGAAGGAGCAAACCCCTGGAGGTCAGCAAACGACAGGCTCTCACTTGCACATTAAGGCACAACCGGAGCGTCTCTACGGGCACGGGGGGTCGGGGGGGGAGGACCCCACCCCGGGGCCAGCCCTGCTCCACGCCACACAGGAGCAGTGCCCGCAGACTTCTGCAGCGTGATTTAAAAGCAAGAAGCTGAAGCATCACGAAGGCACCTCCAGAGCACAGTGTGCTGCGGAGCGAGCCTTCCAATTCTCTTTACTAACTGCTGCCCGGGCTGTCAAGTTCAACTTGCTTTGGTAATAAGCTGCTCTAGGCTGTGAAGTTATGGGGTGTGGTTGTACACTCCACACTCACGAAGGATCACAGCTATTAGCTGTGATTCCGGGTGGGGACCACAATTCCTGTCAACAGGGATTTTTGTCCAGGACCAGGACCTGAACTCGGTATCTGATGCTCATCGCTCCCTGGGAGGCGCTCTACCCCGAGCCACGCCTCTGACGAGGTGAGCTGGGCATCTTGGATGCACGCTGTGTGGGCATCTCAGTGGGCCTGGTGCACACCCGGCCGATGCGGGAGCCAGCAGTGCGCGACTGCGTCCGGCCGGGCCGGGCCGGGCCGGGCCGGGCAGTGAGGAGGTGCAGGGCGTGAGGGAAGCATCTCAAAACGCTCCTCTTTGTAGGCAGCCGGGGTGGGAGGGAGCACGGGGGTGATAAACCACAGGGCATTTCCGTCTTCCTCCACGAAGAACCTCTGCGAGGTCCCGGCGGCAGCAGAGGCAGCTGGCTGTGGCGCTGGGAGAGAACAGTCGGGACTCACGTTTCTCCTGGACGTAGAGGTAGCCTTCCATGGTCCACGGGCTGGGCGGTCTGTAGTCCTGGTTGGCCGACTTCATCCTCTGCATCAGCCGCTCCACCTCTTGTCGCGTGCTTTCGAAATTGTTCCTTGTCTTAAGTAAAGAGAAACAAGGCACTCAGGCTGTGGGGGCGGGGGGGGGGGGGTTTCTGCTCGGCCCGTCCCTTCCCCGAGCTCAGCTTCTGCACGGCCCCATCCCTTCCCCGAGCTAGCCTGCAGAGGAGCCCTGCAGCCTCACCCCACCCCTGGCCAGGATTTCCTTCCTCCCCCACACTGTGATTTTATGACCAAAAAGACAAAGGAAACCAATTAAAATATGCCAAACTCATTAAACAGACTCCAGAATTTCCCAAAGCAGACCTTTTTTTTTTTTGAGGAGTAGCAACCTTAGTAGTTTTAACAAACATGGTGGCACCATGTCAATCTAGAAGAAACTCTCTTCTCTTATTCACTGCCACCAGGTGTTCCAAAGAAATACCACAGAGACATAGTTATACTAGGGTATGGGTGTGAAAATGAACCCCAAAGAATCACTAGCTTTGCACATGCTACTTTCTTTTGCAAGAAACAGCTCATCTGCCTTATGTCAAGTCTAAGTTACAGAAAACGTCAAACTTTTCTCCATGAAAATCTCTCTTGTATTCAGACCACATGGTCTTCCTAATTCATGTCTGAAAACATAAAAATCATCACTATATAACTCTAAGATCTTTCTGTAGTCCACAATAAAAGAGCAGGTTAGGAGCCTGCCTTCCTTCCTTCCTTCCTTCCTTCCTTCCTTCCTTCCTTCCTTCCCTCCCTCCCTCCCTCCTTACCTTCTTCCCTTCCTATTTTTCTTTCTTATGGACACAAGGATTCAATGGTCCCCCAATTCCTTCCTCTTTTCCTGTTCCTGCATCCCAGGGATCTTAATGTAATTGTGTTCAATACAGAAATGAACTATAAAATACCTTGGCGTTTACAGTTTTCCTTTTTAATATTTACTAGAAAATCCTAAATGTGTTCCGTGTTGGAAAACAAGGGAAATGAATTAAAGGTGAAATCAGTTCTGCTCCAAGTTAACTAAATGCTAAACTCAAAACCCAAGAAGAATAAATCCAATTACGTATTTCTCATGGGACATTCAAACTGCAGTTTTATGGAACATCTCTGCAATAATAAGAATCAGATGGAAGTGGCGCTGTGGCTCAAGTGGTAGAGCGTTGGCCTTGAGCTGAAGAGCTCAGGGACAGCGCCCAGACCAGAGTTCAGGCCCCAGATAAGCAAAGAAATACAAGCTTTTTACAAAAACAAAAACCGAGTGCTGAGGTCGCTGCAGCAGACGGGGGGGCTACGCAACACCCGCACAACCAGCGCCTCATGCTTGGTCCGTCGCGGTGATGCAGAAATGGGTCGGCTACAACGGCTTTGCTGCTGCTTTGCTGTTCTGTGATGCCAGGAGGCCCTTGAAGGTTGGGAAGTGTACCGCTCTGCGGTCCAATGTGTTTAGGGTCAGCCGGCATCTTTTTCCAGCATTGATGCGTAAATGACAAACCAAAGTTGTACGTATTTAAGGTGCATGTGCTCTCTTCACGGACACACACACTGCGAGGTCACAATCAAGTTGAGCTCACCTGGGCACCATTTTTACTTGCCTATGGGTGAGCACACTGAAGTTACTTCTCACCGGCACACTTCAAGTATAGAAGAGAGCACTATCAGGTATGCTGTCTCCACTGATGTGGCCTCCAGAACTCGCTCCTCCTCCCTTTCAGATAAATTAATAAGCGCAAAAGGCTCCCAAATCCCCAGCGTCTACACCAAGCTAAGCTTGACTTTATGCCTTGTGTGTGTGCTGGGCCTGGGGCCTGAAGCCAGGGCCTCGGCACTGTCCCTGAGCTTTTCTGTTCAAGGCCAGCACTCTACCACCTGAACCACAGCTTTACTTTCAGCTGTTTTGGTGTTAATGAGAGTTTCATGAACTTTCCATCAACCTCACACCTCAGCCTCTTGATTACAGGCGTGAGCCACCAGTGAGCGCCTGGCTCTAAGATTTACTTTTATAAAAGGTATAGCTGGGGATGGGAAGGTGGCTCAGTGGTAGAGCACTTACCTTGCATGCTCAAGGCCCTGGGTTCGACTCCTCAGCACCACATAAGCAAAAAGAAAAAAGCCGGAAGTGGCGCTGTGGCTCAAGTGGTAGAGTACTAGCCTTGAGCTGAAGAGCTGAGGGACAGCGCCCAGGCCCAGAGTTCAGGCCCCATGACTGGACCCAAAAAAAAAAGTCCTCTATAAAAGGTACAGCTGAGGCTGGGAAGGTGGCTTAGTGGTAGAGCGCTTGCCTTGCATGCCTGAGGCCCTGGGTTCGATTCCTCAGCACCACATAAGCAAAAAAAAAGAAAAAAGCTGGAAGTGGTACTGTGGCTCAAGTGGTAGAGCGCTAGCCTTGAGCTGAAGAGCTGAGGGACAGCACCCAGGCCCAGAGTTCAGGCCCCACAACCGGACCCCCCCCCCAAAAAATAAATAAAATAAATAAAATAAAAGGTACAGCTGTGTACTCATTTCCCCACAGTGCGGTCTGTCCTTTCCGGGCGTGCAGGCAGCGAGTGGCTACGGAGCCCTCTGTGATGATGGGCATGCCTGAGGCCCGCTGCACCCAGACAAGGTTCAAAGGCCCCAGGGTCGCACAGGGGCCACAGGCCTCGCTCGGTCCGGAGGGCAGAGAAGACAGGCCTGCTCTTACGTTCTGCAAGTTGAACTGCAGCTCCTGCTTGTACGGGGCGAATTCCTGGGCGAGCTCGTAGCCCTCATGGTAGAAGGTGAACAAGCCCTGCAGAAAGGACAAGAGCTGCAAAGACAGAAGAGAACTCTCTAAACACAAAGTCTGGTTCTTAAAGGAGTGTCAAATGCAGAATACCCTGGAATTACATTTCATCCTAATATTAATCAATTTCAACCTGTTTGTTTGGCGAGGCTGGAGAGAGAATTACGGACAGAATAATTTTGACTTCCTTTTCGGCAGAGAGTGAGTTAACTTTTTAGGCTGACTGCTAACAGTTGTCATGCTAACTTGTGCCTCTCATTCCCACAGATTCCAAGAAAACAAGAGGCCACAGGGCGGGAGAAACGGGCTCTTTGGAGGTTCATTAGAGGTAAGAATCCCATGGACGTTTCCTGCTTGGGCTGGCTTCAGATAGTCATTCTCAAATCTCGGCCTCCCGAGTAGTTAGGATTACAGGTGTGAGCCTCGGTCTGGCTGGCGTTTTGATCGGTGAGGACAGCCAGACTGGCTTCCCACGGAATTACGACACTTGGATGTTTACGTGAAGTGAGTCATAGCCAAAAAATAACTGTTTGAAGATGTTTACGTTCACTTCCCCGAGATTTTATGCCACTCACTCGGTCTCTTCCCGCTGCGAAGGAAGGAACTGTTTTGGAAAAGAGGCCTCTGATAGGTCTGCAACTTACTGTTTTAAACTAAGGAAGCAGCGCAGGTTGAAATAATTTCGTAGGCGGGCAGCATCCCGCCGCCCTCCGTCCGGGCAGACAACAACTGATCCGAGGACTCGCGTTCCCACAGCTAAACACTGACTGCTGGAAAACACGCCTAAGGCTTCCTTTCGTGAACAGCTCCGTGTCACCTCGTATCACACTCACTTCTAAAAACCTACTATGCTCAAATTATTTTCTTACAGGATTTTTGCCCTAACAGTTCCTCATTTTGTGGCAAGATGTACTATTTGCCAGCTCTGGACTGATTTTATACTCCGTTTTTGCATCTACCGGTGATTACTGCCAAAACTAAGTATTCCGTAGATTGTTCTAACCAGCTGTGGTGGCCTGTGCCTGTGGTTTCTGACACCCTGGAGGTGCAGACAGGTCAGAGAACCTCCCGCAGCCTTTGAGAAGCTGTGACAGTGCTGCTGGCGTGCCTGCCACAGGGTGGCAGCAAAGTTAAGCTGATTTGAGGTTTGACTCTGTTGGTGTGCCTCTCATTCCAGTAAGTTCCATGAGGTTAAACTAAAGGGAAGCTCCCACTAGGAGAGCCTGAAAAACTTTAAGAACTGTTTTCCCACGTCGCCTCCGGTGCAGGCGGTGAGCTGTCTTCCCCCTGAAGAGGCTCGACCTTTACGACCACGGATGATACAAACCACTGGGCCCATTCGCCCTGGGACCCACAGACTCCACATCGCCGTGACAATAACCCCAGACGGCGGCCTCCCGTTTGCAGACCAAATTACTGTTTGTAACTCGAAGAACCTGAGGAGTCTGGGTAGACGCCGCCCCTGTGAGCCTTCAGACCCATGCGAGGCAGGCCGAGGCGACGCTCATTTCCTGGCCCGCGACGCGGCAGACACGCGGCTGGAGGGACACAGCTGTGTCATCCCCACACGCTTCCACGCTGCGGGCTGGGAGGGCCCGCGGTTCCCGGGAAAGAGCGAGCGAGGCAGGGCTGAGCGGAGGGGGCGAGGCTGCAGACAGACCGGGCCCGTGGCAGCCCCTGCAGCTTCTGCCCAACGCCAGCGAAAGTGCCAGGACGCAGCCTGAGCCCTGCGGGCATGCCCACGCGCGCGTGGTGATCGTGACTCGTCAGTCTGTGAAAACCCGAGCCACGGCCGTGCGGGGGGGGGGGGGGGGGAGCCGTCCATCTGAGCGCCTTCCTTCAAGACCCGACCCTCGTTGGAGGAAGGCAGCGGCAGAGGGAACAGACGAGGTCACAGCAGCCTCTCTGTGCGGAGCCCACGGCCCGTGAACACAGCCCCCTGCGGCCCCTGCCGACCACCGCGGACACCCCCCCCCCCCCGCAACAGTGCACACGTGGCACGGGAGAGCCCGGAAACGGAAAGGAGGCTTCAGTAGCTTTAAAAAGCATCCAAGTCTTAGCAGCTCCTGTTGAATTACAGGCTGGGTGCCTGTGGCTCACGCCCCTCGTCCTAGCTACTGAAGAGGCTGAGATCTGAGGATCTCGGTTCAAAGCCAGCCCGGGCAGGAAAGTCCATGAGACTCTTATCCCAATAAACCACCAGAAAACGGGAAGTGGCGCTGTGGCTCAAGCAGCAGAGAGCTCCCCTTGAGCTGAGGAGCTCAGGGAGGGGAGGGTGTAGAGGGGGAGGGTGTGGAGCGGGAGGGTGCAGAGGGGGAGGGTATAGAGGGGGAAGGTATGGAGGGGGAGGATGTGGAGGGGGAGGGTGTGGAGGGGGAAGGTGTGGAGGGGCAGGGTGTGGAGGGGCAGGGTGTGGAGGGTGTGGAGGGGGAGGGTGTGGAGGGGGAGGGTGTGGAGGGGAAGGGTGTGGAGGGTGTGGAGGGTGTGGAGGGGGAGGGTGTGGAGGGGGAGGGTGTGGAGGGGCAGGGTGTGGAGGGTGTGGAGGGGGAGGGTGTGGAGGGGGAGGGTGTGGAGGGGCAGGGTATGGAGGGTGTGGAGGGGGAGGATGTGGAGGGGGAGGGTGTGGAGGGGCAGGGTGTGGAGGGTGTGGAGGGGCAGGGTGTGGAGGGGGAGGATGTGGAGGGGGAGGATGTGGAGGGGCAGGGTGTGGAGGGTGTGGAGGGGGAGGATGTGGAGGGGGAGGGTGTGGAGGGGGAGGGTGTGGAGGGGCAGGGTGTGGAGGGGGAGGATGTGGAGGGGGAGGGTGTGGAGGGGCAGGGTGTGGAGGGTGTGGAGGGGCAGGGTGTGGAGAGGGAGGATGTGGAGGGGGAGGGTGTGGAGGGGCAGGGTGTGGAGGGGCAGGGTGTGGAGGGGGAGGGTGTGGAGGGGGAGGGTGTGGAGGGGCAGGTGTGGAGGGGGAGGGTGTGGAGGGTGTGGAGGGGGAGGATGTGGAGGGGGAGGGTGTGGAGGGTGTGGAGGGGGAGGATGTGGAGGGGGAGGGTGTGGAGGGTGTGGAGGGGCAGGGTGTGGAGGGGGAGGGTGTGGAGGGGGAGGGTGTGGAGGGGCAGGGTGTGGAGGGGGAGGGTGTGGAGGGGCAGGGTGTGGAGGGTGTGGAGGGGCAGGGTGTGGAGGGGCAGGGTGTGGAGGGTGTGGAGGGGGAGGGTGTGGAGCGGGAGGGTGTGGAAGGGGAGGGTGTGGAGGGGCAGGTTGTGGAGGGGCAGGGTGTGGAGGGTGTGGAGGGGCAGGGTGTGGAGGGTGTGGAGGAGCAGGGTGTGGAGGGGGAGGGTGTGGAGGGTGTGGAGGGTGTGGAGGGGCAGGGTGTGGAGGGGGAGGGTGTGGAGGGGCAGGGTGTGGAGGGTGTGGAGGGGCAGGGTGTGGAGGGGCAGGGTGTGGAGGGTGTGGAGGGGCAGGGTGTGGAGGGGGAGGGTGTGGAGGGTGTGGAGGGTGTGGAGGGGCAGGGTGTGGAGGGGGAGGGTGTGGAGGGGCAGGGTGTGGAGGGTGTGGAGGGGCAGGGTGTGGAGGGGGAGGGTGTGGAGGGTGTGGAGGGGCAGGGTGTGGAGGGGCAGGGTGTGGAGGGTGTGGAGGGGCAGGGTGTGGAGGGGCAGGGTGTGGAGGGTGTGGAGGGGCAGGGTGTGGAGGGGGAGGGTGTGGAGGGGGAGGGTGTGGAGGGGCAGGGTGTGGAGGGGCAGGGTGTGGAGGGGGAGGGTGTGGAGGGGGAGGGTGTGGAGGGGCAGGGTGTGGAGGGTGTGGAGGGGCAGGGTGTGGAGGGGGAGGGTGTGGAGGGGGAGGGTGTGGAGGGGGAGGGTGTGGAGGGGCAGGGTGTGGAGGGGGAGGGTGTGGAGGGTGTGGAGGGGCAGGGTGTGGAGGGGCAGGGTGTGGAGGGTGTGGAGGGGCAGGGTGTGGAGGGGGAGGGTGTGGAGGGGGAGGGTGTGGAGGGGCAGGGTGTGGAGGGTGTGGAGGGGCAGGGTGTGGAGGGGGAGGGTGTGGAGGGGGAGGGTGTGGAGGGGCAGGGTGTGGAGGGTGTGGAGGGTGTGGAGGGGCAGGGTGTGGAGGGGGAGGGTGTGGAGGGGCAGGGTGTGGAGGGGGAGGGTGTGGAGGGTGTGGAGGGGCAGGGTGTGGAGCGGGAGGGTGTGGAAGGGGAGGGTGTGGAGGGGCAGGGTGTGGAGGGGGAGGGTGTGGAGGGTGTGGAGGGGCAGGGTGTGGAGGGGCAGGGTGTGGAGGGTGTGGAGGGGCAGGGTGTGGAGGGGCAGGGTGTGGAGGGGGAGGGTGTGGAGGGGCAGGGTGTGGAGGGTGTGGAGGGGCAGGGTGTGGAGGGGGAGGGTGTGGAGGGTGTGGAGGGGCAGGGTGTGGAGGGGCAGGGTGTGGAGGGTGTGGAGGGGCAGGGTGTGGAGGGGCAGGGTGTGGAGGGTGTGGAGGGGCAGGGTGTGGAGGGGGAGGGTGTGGAGGGGGAGGGTGTGGAGGGGCAGGGTGTGGAGGGGCAGGGTGTGGAGGGGGAGGGTGTGGAGGGGGAGGGTGTGGAGGGGCAGGGTGTGGAGGGTGTGGAGGGGCAGGGTGTGGAGGGGGAGGGTGTGGAGGGGGAGGGTGTGGAGGGGGAGGGTGTGGAGGGGCAGGGTGTGGAGGGGGAGGGTGTGGAGGGTGTGGAGGGGCAGGGTGTGGAGGGGCAGGGTGTGGAGGGTGTGGAGGGGCAGGGTGTGGAGGGGCAGGGTGTGGAGGGGGAGGGTGTGGAGCGGGAGGGTGTGGAAGGGGAGGGTGTGGAGGGGGAGGGTGTGGAGGGGGAGGGTGTGGAGGGGCAGGGTGTGGAGGGGGAGGGTGTGGAGGGTGTGGAGGGGCAGGGTGTAGAGGGGGAGGGTGTGGAGGGGGAGGGTGTGGAGGGGCAGGGTGTGGAGGGTGTGGAGGGGGAGGGTGTGGAGGGGGAGGGTGTGGAGGGGCAGGGTGTGGAGGGTGTGGAGGGTGTGGAGGGGGAGGGTGTGGAGGGGGAGGGTGTGGAGGGGCAGGGTGTGGAGGGTGTGGAGCGGGAGGGTGTGGAAGGGGAGGGTGTGGAGGGGCAGGTTGTGGAGGAGCAGGGTGTGGAGGGGGAGGGTGTGGAGGGTGTGGAGGGGGAGGGTGTGGAGGGTGTGGAGTGGGAGGGTGTGGAGGGGGAGGGTGTGGAGGGGCAGGTTGTGGAGGGGCAGGGTGTGGAGGGTGTGGAGGGGGAGGGTGTGGAGGGGGAGGGTGTGGAGGGGGAGGATGTGGAGGGTGTAGAGGGGAGGGTGTGGAGGGGGAGGGTGTGGAGGGGCAGGGTGTGGAGGAGGAGGGTGTGGAGGGGCAGGGTGTGGAGGGGCAGGGTGTGGAGGGGCAGGGTGTGGAGGGGCAGGGTGTGGAGGGGGAGGGTGTGGAGGGGCAGGGTGTGGAGGGGCAGGGTGTGGAGGGGGAGGGTGTCGAGGGGCAGGGTATGGAGGGTGTGGAGGGGGAGGGTGTGGAGAGGCAGGGTGTGGAGGGGGAGGGTGTGGAGGGGGAGGGTGTGGAGGGGCAGGGTGTGGAGGGGGAGGGTGTGGAGGGTGTGGAGGGTGTGGAGGGGCAGGGTGTGGAGGGTGTGGAGGGGGAGGGTGTGGAGGGGGAGGGTGTGGAGCAGGCGGCTCTTCTTGGTTCCATGATGGGAAGGAAGTCTCCAGCCCCAGCATGACCCAGCGAGGCCAGGGTTGGACAGTATTGTTTCTAACCTGGCCGGCCATCCCAGCAGGAAAGCTGGGTACCGAGGTAGCGGAGGGCAGGAGCCACCTCGCAGAAGGCCCCGTCCGAGGCTGCGGACAGAATGGCCAGAACCACACTGGGACAGGGCGGGAAGACACGTGCCGGGGGGAGAGCGGTGCCCGGCCCAGAGGTGGGCTCGGCCGGACTCGGGCTGGACGGGGGCACGGAAGGAGGCACACGGGGAAAGGGTCAGCACGGTCCGAAGCCAGGGGTCAGGAAAAGCCCCAAGGGAGGCATGTGAGGAGGCCGGTGGTGGGGACAGAACCTGGCAGCAAGCGTGACCCGGAAACCACAGTGGAGGCCGGGGACCATGGTTCCCATGTAACCTCTAACTGAGGTTAGACCAGGCAAAAGAAAGCTTGTGAGATCCCATCTCAAGCAAGAGCCAGGCGATACGTGAATCATCCCGGCTGCCATGCAGGCCAGGCCTGGGACAAAGCAAACCCATCTCTAAATAACCAGTGGGAAAAGGGCTGGACACACGGCTCACGCAGTAGAGCGCCCAACTGGCCAGAGCGAAGAACTGAGTTCAAACCCCAGGAATACCACACACACAGACAAAAACAACGCGCAAGCCACATGGGATTCTGAATCCCAGGGTCGCACCTGGCCAGGGAGGAAGAAATGGGGTTCCCAGACCGGCGCCCACCATAGGTTTCAAAGAAGCTCAGACTCCGTGAAACTTCATCAGACCCTCAAAGACGCCGCTGCTTGAGCTACTAATTCAATCAGAGGTTTACCGTCTTAGCTACTGAGCAAACAAACACCGACTTAAGTCTGCTATGCTGAATAAAAGGTAGAAGTTAAATCCCCAAGCTGGCAGAACGGCCTCTAGCTTCTTAATCCTTGAGCTGAGCAGCTGTCTTAGAAAGCTGCCAAGAGTCAGGCTGCAGGAGGGAGGCGGGCCCCCGGCCGACGCGGTCCCCGGGGGCAGGGTGGGTGCCCCTAGGAAACCACCGCAAGAAGCCATATCCTCCCCGCCACCCATGAACCAGGGCCAGGGCGTCCCAGGTCCACAGACATCCCACAGAATGCCCAAGACTGACTCAGGAGGAGCAGAATGGCCGGATATCCCATTACCCGTGCCCTGATAAATCCCGTCTGTCTGTCTGTCTGTATCAGAAGCTGGCCTCCCCGGGGAGCTGACCCTCACCCTCATGCAGGAGGGAGACGCATGTGTAATCAATGGATCTCGCTACCAGAGAACGCTGTGGAAAACGAGGTAAGCCCCTCCAGTCCAGCCACCTGCTCTCTTCTGGAATGCGGCTCACATCAGGAAATCCGCGGCTTTTCACCCTCAGGGAGGGAAGGAATGACTCCTCGGGAAAGCTGGGCAGGGTCTGGCTCTGTCAGGAAGGAGGGAAGGCAGAGCTCCCCGGCCGGGGCCGGGCTGCGGCTCCCTTACTGTGACCTGTATCCCGTCACGTTTATTCTCTCTAGGTGTTTTATCCATCCTCCTGCCCGCCTTCCCTTCCCTTCCCCTTTGCCTCCTCCCCACCAAAGCTTCCTGCCACTAATTCAAGACTCCCAGTGGCAGCTGCACCCGCACGCAACACCACGTTGTAGGTCTAAGGGGTTCCGATGATGTCGGGCACTCAGCCTCCAGGCGGTGCCACGCTGTCACACGGGTGCCAGGCCACCACAGAGCCCGTCTCCCCGGTGTCCCACCTCCCCCTCCAGCCCCACCCCTCTTTTTGTTTTCACGTATCATAATCTCCATTAGAAAAACCACCACAAAGGCTCCTGGTGACCCAGGAGACTAACACTTACCGGCTCAACAAACTCGAACTTCTTCTTTTCCTGAACTTCTTGAATCTTAAAGACATATTCTAAGGACGCCTCGTAGAAGTTTTGATGTTCTCGGTCAATCTGTGTGTCTGCCTGAAAAAGGAAAACCAGCCCATGAAAGATGCCGAGGGCTGCAGAGGGCCACACAGATGTGAACACCCGTGAGCACGAACCCCAGCGCAGACTGTCCACGCTCCCTCTGGCTCACAGAGGTTAGAGCGTATGAAGCTGAGGACCGCACACACCCATGCGCGCACACACGCACACACAGGCAGGCAGGCAGCACCCTGAGCAGTCCTCTCTTGGATCCCTGGTTCATTTCAACCAGACGCGCGAGCATCCTGACATGCAGAGCTGGCCACCCAGGGCCGCGGGCCGCGCCAGCTCCCTAATGCTCTGACAGCTTGCTTTGTGCGATGTGTTCTGATGTGTTTGGACGTCTCCTGTCACATGGCCCCACATTCACACCCCACGCCACAGCCAGGTCCACACGCTAACCCCTCCTCAAAGAGAACCTGGAGCACACGGGTCGAGTGGAGGCCCGGCCGGGACTGTGGCCGCCCTACCCGCGCTTGTCCACATGGCTGGTGGCAGCCAGGCCACACTGGGCCCCCCTGGGGCACCCCCCATGGCCTGGGTCGTGGTCCCAGGCCCAGATACAGACCCACATGGAACCTCACAATGTTTGTTTGCTTTTTTTTTTTGCCCAGGCTGGCCTCAGACCACAATCCTTCTGATCTCTGCTTCCCAAGTGTCTAAGATCACAGGCTCGGGCCACAGCACCCAACACAGCCTAGTTCTTATTAATGGCAAGATGTCCGTCTCCCATCCACTTTGGCTACAAAACTCATCACTGCTTTAAAAAGCCAAAAGCGAGACTGTTATCTTTTCTGCATGCAGAAGTAAAGCTTGAAAGCAAGGTCTCGGATATGGTAAAGTTCACGTACAGGCCGCCCTATCATCAACTTGGTCATTCTTGCCTCTCTCAATACGCCCAACAGCGAGCAAAGGGGGAAGTCTTGTCTCGGTGCTGAAGGAAATGCTGATTCAGAACCGGTGGCATGAGGGTGACACTGTCTAATGTCCTCGTCCACAGCAAATTCAACACAGTGAGCCATTCTTCCTGCACTGCACTGAAAGGAAGCAGGCTTGCAAACTGTGACTCCAGCAGAGGAACCTACCTCTTGGAGATGAGACTCCTTCTTCTTTGCAGACAAGTTCAAATGCTTGTCGAGAATAGAGTAGTATTTTTCACTTTCTTTGTCGAACTTCTTCTTTCCATCCTAGGAAAAGGCAATTACAATGCGAAGAAGAAAGATTCACTTCAGAGCATCACGCGAGCCTCCACGCCCCCCACCCCCAGCTGGAGCCCAGTGCGGTCATCTGACAAAGATCTAGTGAGCTCCAGCTCTGTGCGAAGTCTTCACCCCACAGAGCGGGAGGGAAGGTGCAGCAAAGCGCTTGAGTTTGTGTTCGGCTCTCGGAGGACCTTTCCATCCCTCAGGAACACAAATGCACAACGACACTCTAAGCCACACAGGACCTGCATGTGGGGGCCTAAGCGTAGTGGGACCAGTAGCTTTGTAACTGAGAGCCAGTGGTGGCTCTGACCTGGGTGCCACCGAGAGAACGCCTCTCATTTATTTGGTTTGTTAGGCATTCTGGTGATGGATGTGAGTTAACGTGCATGCAGTATAAAGAACGGTCCCGCGACCTCACACCGACGCCATTCCCCAGCCTGGAAGAGACACTGGATATTGTGAATAACTCATTCTTGCCAGGGAGAAAAATGACACTTTTAAATGATAGTAGACTCAAATACGACAATTCAAAGTCAAATTAAATCAAAAGTATTATGTCTACATTATGCTCTTTCAGTATTACTTTTGCTATTCCTACAATTTCAGGGGTGTGGTGGGTTAGAATACACCTGTGTCTTAGCTCTCACACAGATAACCACGGCCAGTTTATCTCCTGTCTGACCACAGGACACTTGGCTCAGAGCACTGCACTGTAATATGGGCATGAGAATTCAAATCTAAGTATGCACTGTAATATGTTTATAGGATTGTATATGTGTGCACACTCGTATATTTTTGTCCTTAATGTTCTTATCTGGAGACAATTGATAAAGACTCCTCTACATTCTCTCTCTCATAGACAAAGCGGAATCACACTCTTGATTTACTCAATCAGTGACCACTGAACCCAGGACACTCAAAACAATAGTGTGAACAAGGCAAACACCACATGTGAGGCTCTCCTAACCCAGCAGGACCAGGTGATCCAGCACAGAGCATTAGTTCCGCTCCAGGGACCAGCTCATCAATGTTGGAAACTAGAACATAGGCCAGGGCCAGAACCACTTCTAAGAACAGCAGGCAATTTAGAAGCTTGTTTTGGGGTTCTTTATGGTAAAACTTTTGTGCATCTAAAAATAAAATGATGCCTTATACCTGTAGTAATAATAACAGCAACAACAGTAATGACAATGATTCAAAAATACTCCTTAACAGTCAAAAGCATGCAAGATTTACCACTGAATTCTATGAGATACTAAAAGAACAGCAATATTCTTACAAATATTCCACAACAGGGCTGGGAAGGTGGCTCAGTGGTAGAGTGCTTGCCTTGCATGCATGAGGCCCTGGGTTCGATTCCCTAGCACCACATAAGCAAAAAAGAAAAAAGCCGGAAGTGGCGCTGTAGCTCAAGTGGTAGAGTGCTAGCCTTGAGCTGAAGGATTGAGGGACAGCACCCAGGCCCAGAGTTCAGGCCCACGACCGGACCCAAAACAAAACGAAAAAATTCCACAACAACAACAACAACAACAACAAAAGGTATCTATAGGCCATTTTCCTTGATGAATGTTAAGTGCAAAAAAATCCTAGCTAAAATACAGGCAACAAAACATTAAGGAAATCATACAATATGATTGCATTAGTTCCATTTGTGGAATGCAAGGATGGCTTAATACACACATACTGACTAAAGTAAAAGGATGGCTCAACTCACACACGTGACAGAAGATAGAAGCAAGGACAAGGATCACAGAATCATCTCAATACATAAAAAGCCACTGGTAAATCCAGCATCCTTTCAGGATGAAAATTCTGATGAAATCTGGAAACAAATCACATTTCAGTATATAAAAAGACCAAGCATCTCAGATCTACAGTCAACCAGCTATTGTTGTCCTGTCCTCTGGTTTTTATATCAGTAAAACTCATCATAGGATGAGGCTGGGAGTACTGCTTCTCTTGATATTGTGTGGAATAAAGAAGAAAAAGGAAAAGAAATGTGAAATTAAATTGAAAGGCCAACACAGGCAGAGAGCCTGTTAATCAGTGCTGCTTTAATCCCAAGGCCAAACCAGCCCAGCTTTGGAGTGATCTGTGAGCAAGCACTCTGCTTTGAGCAGCCAGTGCTGAGCAAGGAGGAGGAGCCCGCCGGGTCTGACTGTGGTCCCCAAACGCTGCTCCACTGAGAACTCCTGCTTGCACTGTTTTGAAGACCTCTGGGCTGTTTCTTTTGACTTTTATTTTTTTGAATTTTTCTTTTTGGTGCTAGTAGTGGGGCTTGAACTTTGTACTCTCGTTTGGCTTTTTTGCTCAAAGCTGGTTTTCTACCATTTGAGCCACGTTTTCACTTCCAGTTTTTTTTCTGCTGAATTCGAGTTAAGAGTCTGCTGGCTTAAGGCCATGATCCCTAGATCTCAACCTCCTGAGTAGATAGGGTTACAGGCATGAGCCACCAGTCCAGTTTAATTTTTTGCCTGCTGTGGGGTCCCGGCTGGCTTTGGAACTTCAGTTCTTCTCACCTCCATCTCTCATGAGCTGGGATTACAGATTAAACACAGTTTCTTTTGGCATTTTGAAGATTTGATGCTTTTTCCATTCTGTCTGGGTAAGCCTCCTTTCTATCCTCAAAAGACAAAGCATTCTACACTTCTCTTGAATCCAAAAGTTGTTGTCTTACTCTTAGTTCTCTGGAGGAGAATACGTAAGGGTTTGGAAATATTTTGCAGCATGAGTGATAAATTTCACTATCGAAAAGTCAAGATGAAATGAGAAAATCGAGAGGGAAGTGTGAGGGAGGGATGTGGAGGGTCTGGATCTGCTTTGCTTCCACAATGACAAATTTTCATTTTCGTGATCTCACCATCAAGTGACTCCTTTTTGGCTCCTACCTAAGATTTCTGACCCAATTTGCTAGCTCATGTGAAATGATTCTTTTCAACACCTTCTTAATTGATTGTGTTTATAGGACTGTGAAAGCTAATTCCTAGCTATGAAATGTTGGCCCCTATAAAATAAATGTGAGATTACAAGGAAAGAATGCTACATGATGACCTACGATTGGATTTTGGGTAAAAGCACAGATATGGCTTATTCTAAACCAATGGCAAGAACAACCAAAAAATACCATCTAAAAAATAAAAAAGCTTTACAGTTAATTACTGTTATAAATGTTGAGGAAGTAATGACTTAAACAACTTAATAATAACTAGGAAGGAGAAAACAACAGGAATGCCAGGCCCCACTTTGCTTTACGATCTCGAGCCTTGGCAATGCCTGGGGAATCACAAGGCTACCGTGGGAGAGCCATGTGTAATTTATGAGCACGAAGTCCACGTGGACACAGGCACGGGCCCCAGGAGTGGAAATCTTTGCTCTCTGACATCGTTCACTAATTACCTGTACCTGGCATTGACTGAATTGTAAGGATTAATCTACGTACAGCCTGTTGTCTGCACTGAATTGTTCGGTTCTGATTGGACATAATAAATGATCCATTTTCCCAAATTGCTCTGTTGTCCCCAGCCCGCCCCCATCATGCTCGCTGGCTGGGCTGGTCACTACCCCACCAGGACCCACAGTTAGAGATTCTCTCTTAAAATTCCCGAGGACTCACATGGGCAAAGGAAGATAGCAAATCCCTACCCCCCCAAAAAAAAACACAAATCCCCCAAAATAAGATTTGCTTCCCCAAAGGAGTCTTTTCTCATGGCATAAATTAAACCCTGTCTTCCCCAGAGATTAAATGACCACCCTGAGATCAGAAAAGTCATCCAGGAAAATGCTCAAGTGTCCATGCATTTGATTTTCAAAACAGGACTCTTGTTATTTATGGTTTCATTCAACCCCTGAAATATCAAGGGGGAAAAAACAGAATAAACACTACTTGACACTATTTCTAATAAAGGTCTTAACAAGAGAGTCTCAAAATAAACTCATAGGTATTACCAACCGAGACCAGTTAACCAGATTTCCCACAGAAAGCAAGTTTTTCAGAGTGTAGAATCCTACACTGCAGAGTCCTTCTACAGTGAGTTCCCTTCATGTTTCCCTGGGTGAAGTCCCAGAGCTGGGAGCGTGGGCCCTGCTTTGCCTTGCAGGACCCTGGCCTGGGAACAGAGGCAGGAGCAGCTCACCTCTGTGAATGTCACTGGTGTTCTGTCCAGCTGCAAACAACTGCTAGCCACTAAGCCTGAGTCTATATAACCAGAACCACAAATTTCCAGATCTCTGAACAACAGGCTTTGTCTCCACAAATCCAAATAAACAAAACACTTTTGTTCCATGTGTGTGGGGGGGGCACTGAAGACTGAACACAGGGCCTTGCATGAGTGCGTGCGTGCTGGTGCATGTACGCGTTACTGAACTGAACGCAGGGCCTTGCATGAGTGCGTGCGTGCTGGTGCATGTACGTGTTACTGAACTGAACGCAGGACTTGAACATGCCAGGTATGTGTTCAGCCCTCCCACCCTACCCCACAGCTATTTTGCTTCTATTCTGCTTTGTTGTTTTTCCTTTACTTTGGTTTGGCAGGGATTCCTGCACAGTTTGCCTGCACTGGACTTGAACTAGTGATCTTGCCTCTGCCTCCTGATTGCTGAGATTACAGATGTGAGCGCCATGCATGACCCCCTCCCCCGATACCTAACTGGTTGGTTTTCTACCAGGAAGAAGGGTACAGTGACGGGGATATCTCTCCTCGTCATTAAATTTTAGGGGGCCTCTGTTCCCCCCTCTCCATCCCTACCACTCCCACTGCGTTTGGGAGTGCCTACAAGCGGACTTCAAATACAGCACCAGTCTGATCCATCCAATGTATCTGCTTGTCCCTCTCTTCTGCTAAGTGAGAGTCACAGGGCATCATCTTGTGCTATCTGTACTGCCCCAGAGCAGGCAGCGTGCCCGGGGAAAGCCGATGAGCACCATCCACTAGACTGCTTCGGTGACTCAACCTAGAAGCGCCCAACCAGACTGCCTCGGACTTCAACTGGAGCGAGGGCGGGTGGCCGATGACAAGCCAGCAATCCATCACACGCCACACCTCCGCCATGGGCCAAAGACCACATCAACGTGGAATAAAGAGACGGCAGGGTAAGAAAAGCCTCCTGAACACACAGACACACAGACAGAGACACAGACACACAGACACACACAGGCACAGACACACACAGGCACAGACACACACACAGACGCACCCCCCCACACACACACACACATACGCACCATGGAAGGGCCCTGCCTTAGGAACTCTGCCATTCTTTTTTATTTAGAGGGCCAGTCATTTTCCCAGTCAGCCTGGTGTGGGCTACTTTCAATGCCATGGTAACCGGACGCTCTTCCTCTGCCTGCCCTCAGCAGCACTGCCGTAGGAGGTGGCTGGCAGGTTTTATTGGTAAATTAAACATGAAAGTTCTCTGGATTCCAGCCGCAACAGAAGGCTTGAGTGAATTTCCAAAGGGAAATAGTCTGAGGCCCGTCATAACTTAAAGGCGAACTCTAGAGAAAGTGCCTAACATCTGTCACTGTTCAGGCTTCAGGTATCTTCTAATTATCTCACTGTATACTGACCGCCAAGTTTCAAAACCAACCGGGCACACACACAGACACACAGACACACAGACACATGCATACACAAGAGCCCAATAGTGCACAGCTGAAATTCAAATACTGACTTCATGCACTTTGCGACTGTCCACAGAAAAGGTGCAAAAGTTAAAGTGTTCTATTAATAAAAATGATTTCTTAAATCCTTCATCTCTTGTCTTCTTTCTTAGATCATCCTGCTTAAAAAAAAAGGACATCTGACCTTTAGAAACACGAGCAACTGCAAAATACCTTAACTCCCTGAAGGCTGCCACGACGCCAGGTGGCCACCGATAGGGTCCCAGCTCGGGACTGACCAATGCCCAGTACTTCTGTAGTATTTCTGGTGTGTATGAAAGACGAATGTGAAGTAAAATACTCATGACTTACTGAGTTCTTCTTTGAATTTTCAATAGAAATGGAGCATTATCACTTTTTATAAGAAATCTAAGGCTGGAACACAATTGTAACCCATTCTCCGTGGACTTCCTGAATCTTATACAGGAAGACTGCCACGTTGTGAGACCTTCTGTGGACAGAAGAAAGACATTTGCTGGATTCCATGACTGTCAACCCACATGAAATCAGAGTGAAAAAATCAAGTCCTAGTCTGGAGTTCACTATTACTACAGTGTTTATTTCTAAATTTAAACCATAAGATAATGCCCATACAAGTTCTAGTAAAGCCATTTAGAACGAAAATCAAAGCGAGGCCTGGTGGCTCAGCCTGTCATCCTGGCTGCCGGGGAGGTAGAAAGACGGTGGGGGGTAGGGGGTGGAGACTGAAGCTCTAGGTCGGTTCAGGGACTCGATCCTGACCTGTGGCCGAGGTCCCACGTAGCATCCGTTTAGGATGAGCGTGACAGAAGGCAAATTTGATCAGGATATATTTGGTGCTGGTATGAAATCCTCTTGGAGGACCAATCACACAAAATGCAAACGATGGTAAAAAGCTGTTTTACCATCATTGACTAAAATTAGAATCTATTCTGTGCCTAATTCCTATCTTACTGTGATCAGGACCTAAATTTCGTGTGTGTGTGTGTGTGTGTGTGTGTGTGTGTGTGTGTGTAGCACACATATATGTATATACATATATATGTGTATATATATATACACATATGTTATGGTATATACACAGATATACACATATGTGTGTATATGTACATATACACACACTCATGCACACACACATGTATATATATATATATATATATATATATATATATATATATATATTTTTTTTTTTTAATCAGAATCTCATCCTAGCTTCCAAAATTATTTCTCCGCAGCTGTTGTATGGCAGGAACTCACTCACAACATGCAGACTGCTTTGCTGTTCTAAATAAGGGCATCATCGCCGAGCAATAGCACACTGTCTGTTCCTGACTCTGGCATTCAAGGCATTCACAAGGTGGCGTTCGTGTCCGAGCGCTGGCATCCAGAGCATCACCCTCCAGATCACTGGGGACTGAGGAGGGGTTCCAAAAGCACACTTACTTTGGCCGCCCCAATCTGCTCTTTCCGGAATTTCTCCAGAGGTGCAATGAGGACGTCATTGGCGTTCTGAATCTGAAATGTAAAATGCACATGTGCTAAGTTGCGTGTAGTCCCATTAGAATGACACTGAAAAACTGACTGAGAGGACTTGCTCAATACAGACAGTGTGTCCCCACATCCATTCTACTTTTTTTTTTTAAACCATTCTGGGATTGAACTCAGGGCCTGGGCCCTGACCTAAGCTCCTAAACTCCTTTTGCTCAAGGCTAGCCCTCTACCATTTGAGCCACAGCGCCACTTCTGGTTTTCTGGTGGTTCATTGGAGGTAAGAGTTTCCATGGACTTTCCTGCCTGGGCTGGCTTTGAACCATGATCCTTAGATCTCAGCCTCCTGAGTAGCTGGGATTACAGGTGTGAGCCACCAGCGCCCATCTTGACTATTTCTACTTTATAATTACATCAATTCCACATATTATTTTACTTACCATCAATAATGGGACAATAAGTACTTATTTTGGTGCAACTGTACCTTGAATGTTCAAGTTTCTTCTTCTAGGAGTTAACTAAGAAATAGTACCCTGGGTATTAAATTTACAAATATTTAAATTACACTGGTTTGATGTAGCCAGTACGAGCAGCTTTTTGAAAGTTGAGTCATATAAACCTAGTTTGCTAACAGAATGCTAGAACTCCACCGCTGGAAAAGAAAAGGCTCCAACAGGGCTGACTAGTATCTGCTTCAACAAAGAGAACTTAAGTCCCATGTTCTAACATTTCCTTAAAACTTTGAAAATGATATAATATTACCATTAATCATTGAGAATACTGATTGGGCTGATTGCCAGTGCTCAATCCTGTAATCCTAGCTACTTGAGGGTTTGAACTCAGGGCCTCATGTTTGCTGGACTGATGCTTTAACCATTTGAGACAAACCACCAGCTCTGTTTGTCGCTGATTATTTTGGAGATTATATCTACAGATCTTTTCTTCCTGGGCTGGCCTCAAATCTGAGTCCTCCGATTTCAGCCTCCTGAAGAATTTGGATTTTAAGTGTGAACCATCAGGGTCCAGCTTTGCTTTATTTCTTGAATTGTATAAGCCAAATGCACATAAATAAAACAAACACACAAAAAACCCTCCCTCTCTCCCCCTGCTTCCGTTCCTCTCTGCTTTTCCTTTCTTTTTCTAGTATATAGGTCTTGACATGTCTTATTTCAGTAACACAAACATGGTTAACTGAAAATTCCTAGTCATTACCTAAACCTTGGATTTAAACAAAGTTTGATTTAAAAAAAATACATTTTGGGGGGCTGGGAAGGTGGCTCAGTGGTAGAGTGCTTGCCTTGCATGCATGAGGCCCTGGGTTCGATTCCTCAGCACCACATAAGGAGAAAAAACTGGAAGTAGCGCTGTGGCTCTAGTGGTAGAGCGCTAGCCTTGAGCTGAAGAGCTGAGGGACAGCGCCCAGGCCCAGAGTTCAAGCCCCACAACCAACCAAAGCCAAAAGAAAAATACATTTTGGCCCCTATTAAAAGCTAAAAATGTATTCATAAGGGATGTCACTCATTTTCAGTGAAAGTGAAGCAAATCTAATACCAGGCAAAGCAGCAAAGTCCCGTATTTCCCGAGAAGACACTGGCTGGGCTGTGAGTAGGTCAGCACATTACAAGCAATTACTGTTTCCTGGCTTTTTTGTGCTGTTTCAAGTGGTCCTAATGAACGGCCCCCAGGGGGTGCTCATAAATCACTCAAGAGCAACAGCTAGAGACACTTTTATGTGGTTAGAAGAAAGCTTCTCCAAATAGGCTCACATACATTTTTCTCCATGTGGCTGTTTCCCCATGGGCTGCGGGTTTTAGGCGCTGGCCTCTGAATTCTCAGCGCTGAGAACTTTACTCCATTGTCGGTCAAAGTAACCAGTTGGATAAGAAGAATCTTAAAGATAATTCCCTCGCGCTGCTCCTGCTCTTCCATTTCCTTCCCTTCCCAGGACTTGGGTAAAATCCAGGTTGCTGGTGCCAGGCGCAGCTGGCTAACCATCAAGACTGGAGGTCCCTTATCCTACAGCTTTCCCTGCCTCAGGATCTCCGGAACAACCATCCTCTCGCTTAAACTTCTCAAGACCAAACTCACCCGGAGTCTAGAAGCGAGCAGACAATGCGATTCCTCTCAGCGCTATCAGAACTGAGAACGCGGCCTGCCGCCGCATTGCAAAGCAAGGGAGACGTCGGTATCCATGCAAAGGAGCGAGGTCGTAACACGTGTAACACGCGGTGTACGAAGCGCACATTGTGATGGTAATGTAGGCAATGAAGGCAGGATTGGGGTGAGCACATTAAAAAGAGCCTCCTGTGCTAGAATGGGCGACGTCGCCATTGCGTCTTTGTGACGGGAAGACCGGGGCTCTCATTCGGGGTGACAAGCAAGCTTCCTCCTCAACAGCGTCTGAAGTCTGGCCAGGAGGAGAGGAGGGGGCTCCCCAGCTGGGTTCCAGATACTGACTTCCAATCCACGTGCCCTTCCCCTACTGCAGGAGCAAACTCACGTGCCCTCTCCAGCCTGAAGCGAGGCCCCTGGGCCCGAGCCGTGCAAGCCACGCCTGGAGGCGGCACCCCACTGGATTCACGGAGCGCCCCCCCCCAGGGCCGCGCTCGGCCATTCTGGCGGAGGGAACATCCACTCTGCACAGGAGACCCCATCAGCTACAAATGCGGCTGTGACGAAGGTGACAGCGCCCCCCCCAAAAGCCGAGCATAAGCCTCTGCGCAAGCAGCTTCGGTCTGCACCAACAGGTGCCTCCTGACCCTTTCCCCCGTGTGGAGTTCGCACTACCAACTGAGCAACCTCCTGGCACTGTGTGCTTTAGTTCTTGGTCAGATGCAGTCTTGTACGTTTGCCCCCATGGCCTCAAACCATGAGCTCCAGGTGCAGCAGGGAGGACCGCTCACTCGTTCCCTGAGACAGGTCTCACCGACACTTCAGCTGGGATTGAAGCATGAGCTCATACCAGGCTCTTTCCAGTTTCTCTACAGTGGCCGCCTGGCAACACGTCCTGTCTGGCTGCAGCTCGCCAGGGAATTGCTGACTTGATTAGAGAAAACAAAAGTTGACCTGACGGCCCTCATAGAAACCAGGAATGATTCTCCTCCACAACCACGAAGGACAGCGTCCTGCCTACAAGAAATGGTACTTTTGCAACACAGGAACGCATCTCAGTTGCACATCTTCTGATACGTGCTGTCGTTTCCTGCCTGGAGGAAGTGAGGTTTGCGGAATCATACACACTCCGATCCATGCTTTATGGCACGGCTGGGTGGGAATCGGGTACGACCTTTACTGATTTTATCCTTGGGACAGAGGTCGGTCACAGAAATAAACCAGCAAGGCGTCTTAAGCTTCACAGAAGCCCCCGGCATACCGGGTGTGAGGCGGTCGGCCGCGGAGGGGGCTGGCGGGAAGAGCAGCGACCACGCCGAAGAGATCCTGCCCACTCCTGCCAGGCGGCCTCGCCCCTGCGCCAGCCCCAACCCAGAACTGGAGAAAGAAAACCAAGGATGTGATGTCTGGAAGCCAAGGAGGGGCTGGCAGCTGGGCGTGGGAGACGGCTGGGCCTGGGGACAGTCACCGGCATCCACCAGGAAGGGGAGGTGGACCCCGCAGCACACAGGGGGCCGGGGCTCCAACCTCACAGCTCCCCCAGCATCACGGTTCCCACCCCGCACAGAAGGCCGAGGCCCAGAGAGGTGAAACCAGCAGCCCAAGTCAGTAACTCCTAGCAAGTGGCAAGGCCACAACTCGAACCCGGGCAGTGAACTTGAGAATCCAAACCCCTCCCAACCTCGTAATTCACATGGCCCCACTTCCCTGATAATGAAGCACAGCTGCAGGGCTAAGTTAACCCTCGTTAAAGCGACAGGAAATGTCCTGATAATATTAACAATAATACTACTATGTGGACAGTGACAATAAAGCAAAGAAGACGAGGCTCCAACGCTCTAGAGCTTGAGGAGAGCAGGCATTATTTTTGCATTCTCTGACTTCGAACCCTTGAAACAGGAATGTGGTTGTTATTAAAAATCTTTCTTGGAGGAGCTGGGAAGGTGGCTCCATGGGAGGGCGCTTGCCTTACACGCATGAGGCCCTGGGTTCAATTCCTCAGCACCACATAAGCAGAAAACGCCAAAGTGGCACTGTGGCTCAAGTGTAGAGCGCTAGCTTTGAGCTGAGGAGCTGAGGGACAACGCCCAGGCCCAGAGTTCAAGCCCCATGACCAAAAAAAAAAAAAAAAAATCTTCCCTGGACCAGGACCGGAATCGCTCGTCATACCTTAAAACCAGGTCCCGCTCGCCGGAGACACAGTTGTACGTCTGGTAACAAGTCAAGCGGCGCGGGTCAGCGGTGACTCCCCCGGCTGGGGAAGGCCGGGTGGTAGCACAGTAGAGGAGAGGGACCTGCCGCAGCCGGGAAGCCTGGGGTGGGGGTGGGGGGCTGTAATGATTCACCTAAAGCAGGGACGTTTCCCTGCGGTGCTCTCGAAACGATGCCAGCGCGGCCTCTGCCCAACTCCCGGGAGGAATGCTCAGAGCACACACAGGGGGGTGTCACTCGCTGTCTCCACACGAGTGAACACGGGGAACTCAGGAACCTGTGTGCAGCAGCCGCGGGGGCCGCGGGGGCCGTGGGGGCCAGTGCGCGCCCACAGGGCATCTTCGCCACGAGCCCCCCCTCCCCCGCAGGCATCTGCTCCCATGAGCAGCTTAAGATCCCTGGGGGGGGCTGGGGGGGGTCCAGGGGAAGATACAACAGTCTTCTAACATAAATAATTCCTTAACTGAGTAAGCCGGCAAATTGAATCACCGTGTTCTCAAAAAGAAAATAAAACCAGAAAAAGGTAACTGGCAAGCGCCAGCGTGGGGACTTGAACAGAAAATCACACAAGTCCACACACAGCCGAGAGTCAGCCAAGCCCTGCCCTTCCACAGACCAGTTTTTTATGATTTATTTTGCACAATTTTTCTTTTAAACTTTCCCAGGCATCTGAGCAGAGGCCCTTAGTCATAGCTAAGAAGCAC